ACGAAGCGTTTGATCTCTTTTTCAATATTGCCGGTGTCAGCGAAGGTCGACATGATCCCCTCGTTTTCGCTCGCCGTCGCTTTTTCGCAAGCCTCGTCAAGCCAAGTTTCGAGAATAGACTCTTCGACCCTCTCGTGCGCATATCTACTCAGTCGTGATGCGATACCTCGACGTTGGAGAATGCGCAAGCAGATCCTTTGCGCAAGAGCATTTGCGAAGTGAGTCCCCATTGCACGTAATTTCCGGACCATGACCTATGAGCATTGCCATGAATTCATTGATCCGCCTAACAACGCAATAACTTGAAGCCTCTTCGGATACATGACTACGTACCTGCATAGCACAGTCTGCGTTGTACAATGTCAGTGTAGCCGTTGAAAGTCGCTTGGAGCATTCTTCCACGATCGATAGAGCATCGACGATTTCTCTGATTCGGAGCAGCTCCGAAGGAGCGAACGCTGGAACATCGTCATCGTCAATTACATCCCTCACAGCGTCGCCGAACACGAGGAAGTTGTCTAACATCCGTAATGTGCTATTCCATCGGGAGGCCACGTCCAAGACCACTTTCTTCGTGCTAGACATGCCAGACGCGTCCGCGGCGGCAATGAGCTGATCGTTCAGCAAGGAGCTTTTATGGAACTTTCGGACTTCTCGACGGACCGCGTTCACCAGGGAAGCTGCCGATCTTGGCACAGACTCAGTGTCGATGACGCTCTCGACGATGTACTCAACTGAGTCCTCGATGCCAATACCAGGATCAGGAGCATCCGGAGCTATGGAAGAATATCCGGTTTATCAGAATAAGGAGTCAAAACACCAGCATACAATGCATGAGCTGCTAGAGAAAGTCCCGAGGGAGTTTCACCTTCTATCGTCTCTGGGTAGTTCTCACCGTCCCCGGGTATGTCTACCAATTGCAGTGGCCGAGGATCGAGATTCTCCTCAGCACCCAGATCAGACGCTCCCGCATCCGCGTCTCCTGACATTTTCAGGGTGTCTAACACGGCAAGGTGGAGGGCGTGCGCTAAACAAAGCTGATGGTAGAATGGCTTCGGAGCCACAGCCTTTTGCAGGTTCCTCCCCAACTTAATCATCACTGAAGCGCCGTCAGTGGTTAGACCACTGATATCTGCGATATCTAAGTCAAGTTCGGCAAGAGTTCTCAGCAGAATCTCCTGGATGTTCGCCGCGGTAGCTCGATCCGAGAACCTCGAGAGAAGATTCACGGATTTGCCGCCAATTTTCGGAAGGTCACGGGAGCAGTGTAAGGTGACACCTGGATGGGACAAACCTCGTCGGACTTCACAACTCTTGATTTCACATCGGGATTCTGTACCTCTTCCGGCTACACCTCACAGCCAAGGTTTTGCCTTACGGGCATTATCTTAGCTTGCCGCCGAGGACGCCCCCGAGCAAATTTACTCCGGGGGATTGAGGACGAATACCTGCTGTTCCCTTAGGAAATTCCGTGAGGAATATTTTTCCAGCTGGACGTATCGAACCCGCGTCACTTCGTGAAGAGCATGTTTGCACGGGAAGTGACAGACGGGCTAAGCACTCGACCACCAGCGCGTATGGAAATTTTCTAGCTACCGATGTTTTTCAATTCGAAACTCAAATATATACCAAGAAATCTCTTTCTCTGGTGGGTCCATTCGTCAGCCGTTAGCGTGAATACAGCCCCCTCCTCTTTCAGCTTCGCAAATGCTTCTTTGAGATCGGTTTTCACGCGCCTGTGAATTTTCGGCGTCGAAGAGTATTCGAAATTCGGAACGCTTCGATCGGATACCATGATTGGAATGCAGGTATGCGCCGGATATCTAGTTCCCCAAAGAATTCGCCTGTCGCGACGTGAACTTACTCCGCTTCGGAATCTATGTGGCGTCGAGCTATATGATCGCTGACTGGACCTAGCCGGGCGAGCCAGAATAGGATTCGCAGGATCATTGAATTGAAGGCTCGGCAAGGAATGTTGAGCACGCTGACCATACCGGCAATTATCCAGGCCTTCAATTTCTCCCTGCTGACGACCCTCCCTTTCTTCTCATGCATCGCAAGATGTCCCCGCAATCCAGTGTAGCTTCCGTTTCTGGTCGACAAGATTTTCCGACAATCCTTGCACTGCGCGCGATCACGGTCGATTTTCTCGAATTCTTTCCATATCGGATCTGTCGGAGAATAGGGGACCGACTATATACAGGATAGCGTCAAAAATATCAGCAGCCTCCTCGCACGCTCAAATTCACCTTCCACTCTACCCTTTCCGTCAGCTTTTGATTGTGGGGGCGAGGCGGAGTTTGAGTCGCTTCCCGTGGTCCGATCTGCTCCGAGTGCATCTAGAAATTTTCGACCGGACCTCATTGAAAAAGCTTCAAGCGGTTTCGAGTCCTCAACATCTTATTCAGCTCAATTAATTTTCATCAGGGACGATTCGCGGACACGGGGGAATAATCTCGAAATTGAATCAGAATCTCACCATCAACTCGTGAGCGTTTTTGAGCCGGCATCTGTTGAAGTATGAATGTGACATATATGGATGGAGCCGACGGGAAGTCTCACAGTCGGTCGTTCGATGATTATTAGCATCTAGGCAATGATAAGAATACTTCACTTTTGTCGTAACAACCTCAAGATTGCTCAGATGATGAGGTATAATTCTAGAGAGATAGAGGGAACCTCCCGCGTTACTAAACTCTCTTCTTGACTGACCTCCCGCGAACGACGGGATCAAGATTGGGGAATGGTCGGCTGTCGGCTATACAGACTCCCGGATCTTGACTTTCTGCTTCGTCGTCCGCTATACCAAGATCCGAGAGACAGAATGAGAGGCTCATACAGTGGAGGGTGGCGGTCAAAATAATAGAGCCACCTAAGAACTTCTTCTTCTTTTTCGGAGGTCCGTGACTTTTTAGGAAATCTACCGAATCGGACGTTTTTTTTTGAAATCGTTGAGTATTGGATGGACTTCCCAATGAGCACGTCACTTTTGACATTTGGATACGCCTTGAGGGAGTTACAGCCGTCGCGATATCGCTTATTTTCTAAATTTCCGATGACATTTCAAAACCCTCATAAGTCGGGACGAGGGTATCGCATGGGGTCGGTGTGGTCGGCATCTTGTAGCGCGGGAAAAGAGCTTTCGATTCGTCTATTTACTTTGAGAAATCCGTTCACCTGGAGCTGAGAAAACATTCGTCTGCTCTTTGGAAGTAACGGTAAAAAAATAGAGCCACCCTCCATAATAGAGCAATAGAGCCGGAGGTCAGAAATTCGTCTCTCTGATTCTTGCATCGGAAAGCTCGTCTTCCATGCAGCGGAATCGCTCTTTGTTTCCCGGAATCGGTCCGGTTTTCGAGGAGTTATGCAAGGATCAAAAAGACGACCTTCCGCCTTCCGCCTTCCCATCCAGCTCTAGTTAGGGGGGGGGGTGGCTTCTTTGACCGTTACTTCCAAATAGCAGACGAGTTTTTTCCCAGCTCCAGGTGAACAGATTTTTCAAAGTAAATAGGCGAATCGACAGTTCTTCTCCCGCGCTGCAAGATGCCGACCACACCGAGCCGATGCGATACCCTCGTCCCGATTATGAGGGTTTTAAAATGACATAGGAAATTTCGAAAATGAGCGAAACTGAGACGGCTGTAACTCCCTCAAAACGTATTCAAATGTCTGAAGTGACGTGTTCATTGGAAAGCCCATCCAAGTCCGATTCGGTAGATTTTCTGAAAAGTTACGGACCTCCGGAAAAAGAAGAAGAAGTTTTTAGGTGGCTCTATTATTTTGACCGCCACTGATATCGAATATCGAGCTCGAGTCGAATTATATTCCGCGCTTACGCTACTGGTTAGAACACAGAATGCTGGAAACTCTGAGGAGACGGAGTAGTCATCCCGACTGACGAACGTTCCCTGCGGCTGATCGTTTCGAGAGTTGGTTTCATCATTCATCCGCCTCTGATCTCCGATCGATTCGAGTGAGGCGCGTACCACGTACCAAGCATCTCTCGCTTGCCCCCTAAGAACCAACCCGCGCTGATAAATCTCTGTACATATACTATACCTACGCAAGCATCGGTGCCGGGGAATATTGAGCCGATCATTATCATTATAGTCGTCATCAATCATTTTATTTAGCCACCGTCTCTCTCAGCGTCGCTGTGTCAATATTCACTCGCGAAGGAGGATCGCTGCACATGGTTAGCGGAACTCACAAAGAGGACGATAAAGAGTAAAAGCTGTCGATCGTTTCTCCGGGGGAGATGGATCCATTGCGTTTCATACGCTTCATATTCAGTAAAAAGTCATATAGGATGACGATTCTCATCGTCCGTACTCTGCTCTGCGGCTACGATCCGTGGCTCGTTCCACGGCGATGATTTGTGGCCCCTTCTTCGGCGATGATCCGTAGCTCGCTCTACGGCGATGATCCGTAGCCTGTTCTACGGTGTCAATCCGTAGTCCGTGGTCCAATCCACGATGACAATCTGTGGACCGGATGACCGTACTACGGCTTATTCCCATGGTTCGTACTATCGTCCTACGCCATCATGCCGTAGTCCGTAGTTGTATACTCCAACGGAACTTCGTAAATCGCAGAACTGCGCTACGACGCGTTACCGAAGCCCCGTAGAACCGCGATACGGGATTCTTCCGTAGTCCGCATTACGGTTCTAGGGTCTATTCAGGGAAAGCTCATGAGGGGAAATGGGAACGATGGCCAGTGCTAAATCCAGACTTAATCAGGGTTCAGCTGATCCAACGTCATAGAGGATAGTCACCGAATCTCTCTATCATTCGAGCAGATTCAATCTGAATTCGGCGACGAGATGAGCACGGCGATAGGGGAACACACGAAGATTGCCGTGGTTTTCTTAGTCGTTCCAGCATCAGGAAAGTCTCGGTAGAGAAGCACACGAGGAGCAACGCGGGGTTCTTCAACGCTCAGAGATCAGGAAAGTGGCTCCAAAACGCCTAATCATCATTATGTTAAGGTTGAGAAGTTCGGACGGTGCATCATTCTCTGAGGCTTCTCTCGGAGGGCTGAGTATTCCCGGAACTTGATTATCCGACACAGAAAATCAAACCCTTAGAGTCTTGCGCAACGCGTCTGATCCCGAGAGGAATTCTATTCGACGCTGATGGTCACTTGAAATAACCATTAATGCATACACTTCACTCAACGGGGCGCACCTGCCTGCCTCAAGCTCGAACTTCAGACTCGGGTCTCCGGGTACGGACGGGGTCGGCTTCCTCGATTCTCATCGGCGACCGAGAATTCCGATGAGGATCCCCTATCCAATCAAAGCCACTCCGAGATGGACTTCGAAGTTCGCGCTGTTCGCGAGTCCGTTAGCGAGGCAGACGGCAGCGGCCACTTGGCTCCGCCCGTCCCAAACACTCGCCACTTTTGTATAGAAAAGGCAGCGCAAAACTGGATGGTGATCTATTTGTGGCTGTGACTGGGACGCGCCGTTTAGTTCTTGTGCACTTTTAGTCCGAGAGTAGTTCCCGACTTGGTGTGGTGGTGCGAGTACTCCTGCTGCTACGCTGGTTCTAGTTCGGTCGAAATTCGACCACGACTTCGAAATTCAAGTAGCTTCCTGATCTCGATCTCGAAATTGCCGTCATCGAGCGATTCAGTGTGTTCATTAGCTGTCCGAGGAGCCGTGTGTGAGAATCGAATCGCGTTACTCATCACGTCTGTAGCGTGATCATGGCGGATCTCGAGAGTTTTTTCGCGAAGAAGGACAGAAAGAAGAAAAACAAGAAGGCCGAGATCCTACCGGAGGATCTTTTGAAGAAAATTGAATTGGTGAGTACCGTAACTCGAGCTAGATGTATATTTTCGCCGTCGAACGTGCCCTTTAAGGCACGCGAGTCGACCGTCCGTCTGGTGTGCTGGCTCTATGGCCAACCTGAGCAGAAGTGTTCGAAATGGATTGAATCCCCGTATAACGTTCGAAAACGCTTCGTAATCGTCCGATTCGAGGAATTTCTTAGCTCCAGCTGATTCGGGTTCATTGCATTGCATGGAAGGGGTGGATCCAGAGTTTGAGACGGCGTAACCGGTGCCGAACGGGACAGTCGAACCGCATGGCACCGATTCGTGGAACCGGCCATGAGCTGTGCACACGCGGTCGGATCACTGGTCGGAAACTGCTCTCTGGCGCTCGCTTTGCTCGTTACGGGGGTCTCCTAATGAGACGCGGGGGCTCTCGAACTGAATTCTATCAGAACTCGTTGCCGTATTGATGCGCTTCCCACAAACAGCTCGTAAGCGGGGCGACTACTGGACGGCGACAGCCGAGCGAAAGATCAACCTGTAAACCATATGGCGGAAGCCCCGTCTCTTGTCTGCAGTTCGTCGCCAGATCGGATTCCGCTGCAAGACCAATAACAATCGACGGCTTCGTCTCTGATAACTGATTTTCGGGACGAAAACTCCTAGTGTAGATGTATATTGCTTGGAGCTCCTCGACGTGAGTCTGAGTTAAGCCGATCATCGAATGAAACCCTAGAGAGGGGTCGAAATCATTCTTATCGGAGTTGCTCATTCGAATCAAAAGCCGAGATCGATACTCATCCTCGGATATCGCTTCCGGAATTCACCTCCAGGATCGATCAGATCGCAATCGCCGCGAGTCTCCGCAGAGTGAACGAGTTGTGGATCTGCCCGTGCTCGCAACTGATTGTCAGGTGCCGACGGTACCCTCTTGGGTTACAGGATATCACTCTGAGGATACTAGGCCCTCACTGATTCCTTCCACCAATCATTGTTCCCCTTCCATCATTCCCTGGCGTAGCGGACAGCCTGGATTGATCCTAATATATTTAGTCTGATAGTCATTCCGTATGTGTCTCTCTTGATTCCCGTTTCTCGATGACTGAGGAGTTTCTGTTTGTGCGACTTGGATGGAGTAGAAAGATTCGAACTATATGACAAGAATCATGCATGACAGCCTGCAACTAACTTGATTAATATTTTCCAACAGGCCCAGAAGGAAGAGTCTGTCGAAGCGGTGTGTATTGTGTGGCCTTCCGCAAGGAAAATGCTCTGAGCTTTTCTGCTTCGTATGGCTTTTCTCTAGATCTACCCAAAAGCTTTCCTCAGTAGTCCTTACTCGTATCATTCTCCTTGGATACCTACCTACCTCCTCCGGAAGGAGTAGGGAAGATTCTTTGAAGCTCCAATCCCTCGAAGCCTCGACATCTCTCTTATACAATCAGTTCTCACTGGCTTCTCGCTCCTATGACCTCCCTCTCGCATTAGGCGGCGTTTCCCCATTCAAAGTTCCTGCGAATCCACGCTCGGTGAAAAATTTGTATAACGCATGCCTAGGTATCACTAATCGCTGGCTACCTTTCCGCTAAGCTCAAGATCTCCCGCGGCGCCGAGATCCCTCGCTCCTTTTCGAATCGTGAATCAAAATCAATACATTACAGGACACACAAGGCTTGGTGGATAATGGCTACGATAGCAATGGCGATCAGCCTCAAAAAGTCTCGACCTCGGTCACGAATAGCTCGAAGGTGAGTCACATGAAGGAGAAGACTACTATCGATTGGGACACCACGAACTATATGCCGAGGCATTAGATCCCACTGATTTAAGTGAATTCTATATGGTGAGTTATGGGAAGACTGAGAGTTCTCTGCAATAACCTGGATTTCTCGCAGCAAACGCACGAGGACGACGAATGGGACGAATTTGAGGGTGAGAAAGAAGTCGACATCAGCAACCTGAAAATACAGAACCTCGGCGAAATGTGAGTTGAGAGAGGCTGCTCAGAGACTTTCGTCGATTACCATTCCAAACTGACACACTCCTTCCGTGAAATGCTCAAGATTGTCATCTTCTTCAGGGAGAAAGAACGCCAAGAAGTTGAAGACCAAGAGGAACTCCAGAAAGCTGTGGAAGAATCTAAATCCACCATGAAATGGAACATAGCTCGCAAAGAGGAATCCTCTGATGACGAACAACCCGATGAGAAAACCGATGAGGTCGGCACCAGATCAAATGATCAGGACAAGAGTTCGGCTGCCGATAACAACAATAAAGAGGAAGCAAAGACCGAGGCTCCGGCCGCTTCTCAAGCAAGTAAGTGTTGATGTGAGAAGTGTGAGGATCAGCGTGTCCCGTCACATTTCCTTCCGAGCAACCTCTCGTCTCAGATGCCTAATACCGTTTCTCTTCTACTTGTAGAAAGATACATACCGCCAGCTCTCAGGAACCAAGGTCTCGGGATGAGTCAGGACATCCGCAGTATGCCCGCGTCCGGAGGCCCCATGCTGGAGAAGACGAGCCTGAAGCGTAACCCGATGAAAAATCAGAAAATCGACGTCAATTCCACCGATCAGTTCCCAAGCTTAGGAATGGCGGTCCAGAGCTCCGGTGGCAGGAGTTTGGGTCCGGACTCTTCGTTCACCTCCGTCCGTAAAGGCGCAAGGAGCGGTCAGGAGAGTACAGCAGATCAGCAGGGCTTGTCGACATCGAACAAGTTCGCGGTGCTCAAGAGTAACAGGACCTAAGTGCATCTGATTCGATCAAAGACCGCCGCGACACTAGCCCTGGGTTTCAATGTTATGAGATAGCGGGTTGCTATCCTGGAGGAAGCGATGTGCTGCGAGGTGAACGGATAAATAGAGGGAGGATATCCGCTGAACGATGAGAGTGAAAGACCGTGGGGGACGAGGCGTCGTAGATCGCAAGAGAAAAGTAAAGAGATGTCGAATGGAACACAAGAGGTGTTTTTTAGAAGCGACAAACCGATCGGGTATTCCCTGATAGTTTCCCGGGTATTCACGGAAAATTCGATGAAAATTATGACGTTAACTTTGATTAGATAAAAGAATGACATGTTGGTAAGATGCACGGGCCTATTTAGTTGTTTCGCTCTACGACGTCACTTTGCCGCCCAAACAACAGTATGAATGTTAACTTTGCGAGCCTTTCGTCTGTCAAGTCGGTGTCGACGTCATCCCTCCCACCAGCCTTCACCATTCTTCCCGTTCTCGTTTCCACCTCCAAGTCTGCTAGTATCCCTTGGCAACGAGAGAGTCATGTACGGGGGAGCGAAGAGGGGAGCATGCTGGAAAAAAGCGGCTGAGAACATTGGCAGAACCGAGAAAAGTGGCCACGACCCGGCTCAAGTGCGGGCTGTGTTACATTTTGTTATCTAGCTAAGGAAAACAACTACTAAACAGAACACTGAACACGCGGACGCCATTGGCTATCTGCATCCGCGTGCTATACATTCGAGGTCGCACCAGTCGTCACGTCCCAGTGGCGAAGATGGTGCTCCTGTATAATACTAAGGCTAAGCTCAAATAAATATAATATAGAAGTTGTTCACATGAATCGGAATCCGTCTGACCTTTTCCATCGAGTCCTCGTCTGCGTGTTGCATGTTGCATCTCTCGACCCACAGGGAGGACATTTCATTGTACCTCTCCAATAGGAACGCAAGCCCCATGATGGAAGACGCTCAGTGAGAGAAGCATCGACTCTTTCGAGCTCGCGTCCCACCTATCCAATGGGATCCGACGGAGCCACAGAGGCCTGATACCTCCGACAGGTCGTCTGACGATCCCATGGATATATCATACTCACTATAAAGGCATGTCATGGGTCAGCCGAACCGAGAATACTAATCGAGCGTCCCGTTCCTTCTTGGTCCTCGGCAAACATCCCTCGGGAATTCTTGACTTTTTCCTCGATATGATTCCTGATCGAATTCCGCAGTTCCCGATATCGCAACGGCACGTGCGGTCGTCAATTCCCTCAGAACATATTACCTAGAAAACGCCAGAAATATTATGGGGCTCCATAATTTGTTGGGTCCCCAGCAAGGCTAGTGCACCAGAAGCGTGATGGAAGGTCTCGACGGACAAACCGAGCTGGAATGCGCCACCGAATCTCTGCGTTCAATTATGATCCCGACTTCTCAAGAACCACCAATTATCGTACGATCCACTCGTGCGATCGATTGAGTTTGGCCGAGATTCGCAGCACTCTGCGCTCGACCGACGGGTGATCAAGCCTCGAGACCCAAACGCGTCAAGCCCTCCCTGAGGGAGAAGAAGATCATTTCACTCCGAGTAGCGTTGAATGTCCTTCGCGACTTCACATCGAAGAACACCGGCTCTCGAGCGGCAGATGGTCGTTCCCGTTAGGTTTCCGATAGGATTTTCGTGGGGCTTTCCGAGGGGACGAATGAACTCTGCTCGCCAGCGAATTTACGAATCTCGCTATCTTGATATCCGTTGGCTGCCTTTGCTCCTCGCAGTCGATTCTCGGAATCCGTGTCTATTGCACGTAGATACTGTAACTCTACTCAGAGTCTGTATTTGTTGATATTTGGGAGCAAGAAGTCAGCCCGAGGACAAGGGATCGAATTACCTAGGAACCCCAACTTTTGACGCAGGCTGGTTCGAGATATTCCCTCGACATGCGGAGCTTCTGCAGACACTCTATAGGCGGGAGCCTCGGTAAGCAACAGAATTACGCAGAATATTCGGAGCCTAGATCAATCGATGGTAGACAATTGACCAAGTGGAATTATTCTTCCAGGCGAACTCTCCCAGATATCCCCATCGGAGATGAATGACAATATTCTTCTCCATGCACTGGAGCATCCAGAATATCCGCTAACCCTAGCTCAGGCTGCGAAGTCGTTGGCGTCCGAGAGTAATACTGGCCGAGCTGGGAAACCTCTGAAATTGCAACAAGAGGACTTCTCGCATAATATATGCTCGAAACCGTCCGAGCTGACAGAGATCACAAATGCTTGAGAACGAGCTGCCATTGGGCCTGTGGCACGACCGAGGTTCTCCTCGAGTCATAAATCGGCATCGGTGAGCCAATCAAGTTTCCCTGTAAGCGAGGCGTGTTGTGGGCCGTGTGAGAAAGCTGTCCGTGCTTGAAGGTGTCGATTTTGAAGTGGCGGCCTCAGTACTTCAGGCGCTCTCGAGAGGCTAATGCTTCAATCTTTAGCTAGTTCTGAGCTAATATTGTTCTGAGTTAGCATTACACACGCGGCCGCGGTGCCTCACTGGGTCGCTTCTGGCTTGGCAACGCTCCTGGGAAGCTGACTGAGGCGAATATTTGATAGTCGGTCCCGTGATTCCGATTCGAACATCAATGTGAAGTTGACTAGATCTCTGACTTCGATCCAAAACGTCATCAACGAGATTCCCCATCCTTGCAATGTTGAATTCAGAGCCTTGGAAGTCTTCGCCTCCGAGAATAAGACTGGACGGCTAGGCGTTGTAGCGTAGCGGTAACCGTCCTCAGCGACGATCGGGAATTTTCCTATCCGAGGTCTTCGTTGAGAATAATACCTCCCTGTAGAAGTTTCTTTGGCGAATATTTCTTCTCTGTCTCACTTTTTTCTCCCAGTGTAACACGTTTTGCTGCTGCAATGAAGGAGTCCTCCCGAGACGGACCTCGATTTATAAAAATTCTTTAGGCAACGACATGCCCGCTTCGAACCATGAATCCTGGGACGCGAGAGTCTCTATGACCTCTAAGGATGGTCAGGCATCGCGCTCTTTATGGTATACCGCTCAAAGATAGAACGTGAGGTTTTTATCACCGTTTACATTTATTTATGACAATACGAGTGACTCCGAGATTCAGGCGATAGTTGTCGATCAGGGAGGCGGAGCTAAGTTTGGATACAGCTGAGGATTCTGAATTCCGGAGGATAGGACATTTCCGATTTCGCATCGAGCTCCATCGAAGGATCAACTATTATTCAAGATCTGCACGGACTTCTTCGCGTTCAATTGGACTCCTGATGTAGATGTGTCAACGCACACGGCAAAACTATCGAGTCTGTTCATTGAGCTATAATGGACTACGAGCCAAGCGAGAGAATCAGCTCCCAGAGTTGCTTCTTAAGTGCAAAAACTTGCAAATTCTGCCTGCGACCTTCGAGAATTTCCGGTCTAGTTGGATGCTCTTGTCGACACAGAGAAAAGCTTTGAAGAACTAGTCTCGCAGATACTACTTCTAGTCTCTCAGGTATGTATGTACGAACGGAACTTCAAGAATGTTCCGGAGACGGATAGACCTGAAGCATTCGGATTGAGGGGATCGAAAGTCGTTCGAAGGAAGAAGAATGGCTCTTGTAATTATTGCAAGAAAAAGGGTCATTAGAACAGAGAATGCCGTAAATGGATAGCTGAATGGAGACCCGACGAAAGCGTTGATGAACTAGAAAGGATGGCTCTAGCAATATGGGAAGACGTTTGCGAAACTTCTGCAGGAGATCCTGATCGTTGGTGGGTAGACAATGAAGCCACACAGCATGTAACCCATTGCTCCGAGTACTTCACGAACTCCCAGAAGTTTGAAAACTCCGTTCATGTGCGGGCAGCTGGAGGACATCCTACGTCTCGTTTATCGAGGTCCGATTTACGCAGCCGATTGTTTAGGTATGGTCAATGAAATCAGGGAGCGAATCTCCCCGAAAGGGAACGAGCCCGTGTGTCGCTTCACGCCCTGCCGAAAAGGCGTCGTTGTTCTCATACTCATCCTGCCCCCTGAACTCTCAGCGTCCTGATAAATTATTTTGCTTCCCTCCGCGCTGATTCTGATGCTTTCATCATCTATCTGCGATGTTTGGTCTCTGAAATCGCGACGAATCGGAACGCTCGCAGAGATGGCTCTGTTCCAAACGGAAACAAGCCTCCCCTGCGAGTGCAATCTGTGCATCGCACGATCCCTGCAGGGGTTACTTTCTAATTCGAGCAAGCAATTCAATCGAATCCCATGTCCGACATAGAAATCGATCGCCTCGATGGGAGACTTTTCGAGCAGTTTTTATTTCAACGGGAGAGCATCTCGACCGGCTAACGCCTTCGTCCTGCGACAAGCTCACACCTCACACTGTTTCCGTAGCTCATTCGAAATAATCGGGTATGTACTCGGATCAGATGACCACAGAGGACCAAGCTCACGTCTCAAAGGCCTCTTTTCGAAGCTCAAGTAAGTAGCGGTCCGATACTGGGAGAAAATCGCAAGACCGATGCGAGATCCGCTGGGCTAACTCATAGATTGCAAACTCACGATATTCGACCGACTCGCTCAGCTCTTCCTTCCAGCCTCAAGCTAGTCAAGGGTTCCCAGGGGAGGGCTCCGGAGCTGGGACGGACTCCGTCGTGAGTCGTTCGTAAATAAGGGGGAACGACTTCTTCTCCCACAGAGGTCCCGATTTGCGAGGTGGGAGGTGGGAGTCGGGCGGGTCGTCGGGATAATGACTGGGGCATCAGACCGTGATTCGTAATTCAAGCAACGATTGTTGATTGACTTTCGCCCGGAGTCGAAGTCTCAGACTGGGCTCTCACGAACAATACGTCGCGCACCCCCGAAATCACGAAGGTGAAATTACAGCGGAGCGAATCCCGTTCCCTGGCGGAATAGGGAGCTAGTAGTGCATAGTCAGCGCGATCGTTCGGAAACCGTCCCTTCTCCTTTCAATTCGTTCATACATGTGAAACAGCGAATGTCTCACTCGTTTTCTCCTTCCGTTGTGTGCGCTCCCTCCGAACGACGGTGATGGTCTGATGGGAGGTAGGCACATAGTGAGTTGTCGACTCGAATCCGGACGAGGTTCCTTTTGTTCCATTAGCACGCTACAACCGCTGACAGCCGACAACCGGGCAAGCTTGCAAGTACAGAAAAAGACGAGCGTCTGCAGTAGAGGTGGAATAAAGCAGCTCGGCTCCTCAGTGGCTTGTTCGAGGAGAAAGTGAGTGAGAGAGTGGATGGGTGGGTGGTTGGATTGGTTGCTCGCTTGCTAGGTTCTGAGCTTGCTTGCTTGCTTCCTTCCTTTCGTGTCTCCGGTTTCTCCCCCAGTGCCTGTTCCCTGTTCGTCCGTTCGCTCACTCGCTGACTTTTCCGGTTTCTCTCTGTCGCCGCTGTGTGCAGTTTCTGTTCTCGTTGTGCTTGTTCGTTGTCGACGACGTCGTCGACTATGTCGTCATTGCTGTTCCAAGCAGCTTCGGGGGCAGCAAACTTTTTATTGAGTTTTCTCTCGCGGCATTGGCTGCGAATGGGGAGAGACGACCGCCTCGGATCCAGCCCCACGATTCGCCGAACCAATGGAGAGCGCAGGTGGTGAGCGGACCCCGCCCACTTCTCTTCATCGACTGCATGGGCCGATGCTTGGCCGACTGGCGGGCGGGCAGGCTCTCTAACTCTCGGCCATGTCGGTCCTTGTTCGTCGGCTTCACGAGACGATAGACCGCGAGAGAGGCACACAAAGTGAGTGAGAGAAACACCGAGAGAGAGAGTGTCTCTGTGTATATTTTTACATTGTTGTGAAACTTGGGCAAATATTGAACTCTCTCGTCGTCTATCTATCAAACATAAACTCGCTACAATTACCGTCGGGACGCCATTCGGGCTCTAGAGCTTGACGAGGAAACTTCGTGTCCCACGTTTGGTGTTGTAGCTGGCATTGCCGCAGTGCGAAGTGAGCCTTCGACTTCTGGAGCATCTCGTGGAATTTGAACCTTGAGTATAGTCGCCGTTTCCGTTGCGACGAGGAGTTCGGAAACTTGACGCCTCTCGGACGGGTTGCTGGAGAACCTCGACGACGGAACTCAAACATCATCAACCCGGCCCCCGTTGAAGTGCCTGAGTGGGAACTTGATTTTCTGTCCCAAAGAAGCTTCAGCGGTTTCCCGTGCAAGAGATTGAACGATTTTCGGATTCGAGAAATTACTCCTCCCGGGAGAGCCCGAAATGTCATCGTGAGTCCTGTTCGGAACCCCTATTGTGATCAGTTTCATCTCGTCTCGGAAAACCTCGAGAATATCCTACGCAAGTGAGAGGAAATATACGTCGGTCAGACGGACGCGATCTACGACTCCGGGATCTGCTCAACCGACAGTGTTCTTTGAGTGTGTGAGTCCTTCTCGACCCAGGTCATCCTAGAAACAATGTCTTCGAATTCACCTCAACCGACCGATCTGTCGATTCCGTCGATGGCAGACTGCCATCTGCGGCTCATGATGCTCCTCCATCAACAGCAACAGACCCTCCTACCGATGCAGTTCGCGTCCTCGTTTGACGTGCCTAACCCCCTTCTTGGCCACACGTTCCCGAATCTCAACCGATTTCTCCTGCACGAGGACCCGAAGCCCCAACATTCTTACATAGGGCTCATCGCCATGGCGATCCTGAGTTCACCCGAGCAGAAAATGGTGCTCTCCGACATCTACCAGTACATATTGGACAACTACCCGTACTTTCGGAACCGCGGACCGGGCTGGAGGAACTCTATCCGACACAATCTCTCGTTGAACGACTGCTTCATCAAAGCTGGACGGAGTGCAAACGGGAAAGGTCATTACTGGAGTGTCCATCCTGCGAATCTCGAAGATTTCAGTCGCGGAGATTTCCGGAGACGTCGCGCTCAGCGGAAAGTCAGAAAACACATGGGACTCTCGGTGCCTGACGATGACGATAGTCCATGCGCGAGTCCGTGTTCTCAACCCATTCCCCCACCAGCCTTCACCCTGTGTCAGCCCTTCGCGGCGCCTGCGCTGCCGAGACGCACTTTCGACATGGAGAGTCTCCTAGCACCGGAACCGAAATTTCGTCCACCGGTTTGGTCGCCGTTGCTCGTCCCTCCGAAGATTCTGGATATCGAAGCTCCGAAAACCGAGAACCGTTTGAATTGACAAGGAGCTTTGTAACTTCAGTAGTTGATGTTTCTGAGGTACGCTGTTCCCCGTGAGCGGCTCCGACCTAGAAACGGTCGCTCTCAATAATTTCTCAACTGTACGTTCCTCGTGTGTTCATCATGTTAGGAAGGAAAGCAGCCGTAATCAGGTGATTAAGCGCGTTACCCTCCGGTTGACCCAAGTGAATAAATAGAATCGAGCCATTTGTAAAAAAAATCGATAGAGTTCGGCTTCGAGGAGGAGGAACTGGGATTCATTGCATTCCTGCAAGGCAATCCGACCATGAATGCTTGGTATAGATGTTCCAATGTCCGGGGACGCTCAGTGGATCCAAACCACGCAACACGCAAGCGAACCACACGCGAAACGAACAATTTGGGAAGCCGTTTCGGAATCGCGTCAAGGAGAACGACAGTCACAATCTTCGGGTCGAGCAGCCAGGCCAGATATTGAGAGCCTCCCGGTGCGCGGTGAATATGTATAGGTAATAGAAACGTAGAGGAAAAACACAGGGTAATAATGAATTGATGTTAGTTTTGACGATCGTAATGATGCTGAGCAGAATGAACAAATAAATCTGTTAAGAGATGAGGATCAATGGATGTCTTTATGCCTCGTTCTCTCCCCGAGTATAGGAGGAATTCATCGGGATCCGATCGCACGCGGAGCATATCCCGTCTCCTCTGACTCGGACGGATGCGAGAATTCCGCTCGCAGCGAGATCAATATCACCTATTTCGCAGATGTTCTTGTGTTTTCGTGTGAATGCTCTCCATACGCCGCGACATGAAGAATAAGGTTTGTATTCGACTGCGAAATTGGATTTGCCTCGGGGAAGATAATTCCCGCTCGCTTATCATCAACAGCGCGTAAGCGTCTGTTATGTGTAGATCACAAATTGGCTTGGAGTGCACGGTGTAGGATTTCAAAGGGCCCAAACAGCTCCCTCACGCTGCCTCTCTCGCTCATCCCAGAAGCATAAGAAAAAGGCGCTAAACGCTCTTCACATTCTTCCTTCGCTTTCGTATTTGACCAGAGCGTTGTTCGTCGTCGTGTCAAGGTTCTCACCATTGAAATCATACAAGAGCAATTGACCCACGACCCCGTCAGTCAGAGCCGTTTTACCGCGTCCGGAAGATTTTTCAGAATGAAAACTCTTAACTAGACTTGCTTGCAAATAAAGACTCTCGTGCGGTACTTGGGTGATGTTGACGTTTCCAATGAATCGTCTCGGAGGGTTTTTCGGAGTCGCGATCTGTTTTTGGTCGCATTGCGTCTCGGGGCACGAACTCGTCCTCGGACTGATAGGCAGTGTGCCGGCCAGATCTTGAGAGCCGCGATGAATGATGCTTTTTCAGGACATCGATACAATTCAGCGAACTGGTTCTAAGGCTACGAATCACAGATCCCCTTGATCGTCGGCTCCCGGAAATTGTATCCGAGTCATTCAATCAATGATCTCCTGAACCGGGCATAAGTCCTCACCTCCGCGTGGTTTGGGGGCCAGTCCAAGCGGCGCGTCGCTCCCCCATAGCTGACCGTCGCGACGGTCAATCTTGGGTCATCGTTCCGATGCCTTCCTTATGACGAACTCATGCGCTCAGCACTTGGATCTAGGATTGAAGGGAAGAGCATATCGTATCACGTATAATTCACTTCGTGTTCTGGACCAATCCAGCGTCAACGTCTGTGATGGGACTTCAATTTTGGAGCTACCCCGTCGTTTCATTCGCTATCCGAGTGAGTCGTGCATGATGACCGTGATAAACATCCAATATCCATCGAATATGAGACGTGATCCTGTCCAAAAGATCGACCGATCCACTCAAGGAGCCGGAATATGTACGGAAAGAATCATCATGTCCGGATAATTCTTCCAGGATTGGAATAGGGACCCCACGGACGTGATGGGAGCCTCGGAGATCGAAAGGGTAGAGTCGCTCGCAATGATCTTTGGTCGAGGCGAATGGGACAACGTTATTGCCATTTGTAATCATTGTTTTTTTTGAATTCTCGTCCCGTGGCTCGGTCTTACACCTGTCTGCTTCGAAACCTCCGACCTGGGCATATTCTCAAATCGGAGTCTTCTTTCTCCGTCTCTCCAAATCGACCGTTCCATCGCCGTTTCTCAAATTATGAAACGAGGCTCTGCGTTTTATATCGGTACAAATCAGTCGAGACTTGAGACAGAGGAGAGCAAAAAGGTTATTCTAAGATTGATGACGTGAGAGAATTCAGTCTCCAAATCATCGTGGACGCATGGTCTTCGAGCAGGCAATCAAAGCCGGCATCATGTCGTCGTCGCACTACGACGCTGCCTGGTCCTTAGCCCGGTTGTTATCGATCGGGATTCAGGATTGATAGGATTGTTTCAACGTGTAACTCGAGCGAGAGAATGGCGGTAGCCGAACAGAATTTTGAAATCCGCGAGATTCGGGTTCCCTCTCAATAATTGAGATTTCGGACTCCCATGCCCGTGCTCAGTCGACGTCGTTCCACACCCTAGCCGCAGTCGTTCGTATAAAAAGCACAAAGGGGAAAAACGGAACATTTCAGAAAGTGAATCTTCGAATTGAACGTCTCTGGAGAATCGGACAGCAGATTGAATACGAAATGAAGCTGTTCGAGCAGTCTCGCTTGGGACTTGGACAGATTTGGGCCCACGGCAGACCTTCCCCCTGCTGCTTCTCTCCTTCAACTCGCAGCACCCATAGAACGAATTGCTCTCGATCGATTTCGATCGATCGCAATTCCCATTCCAGTCGTCGTTTTGCATGTTATTCGTTATTCATCATCAGAACACAGGTTCAGCATTCAGTATGTCAGGCCACAACCGGTCAACCACTTCGGAGGGTCGTGGTAGGAGTAGGAAGGATTTTACCGTAGAGGAACTCGTGACCAGATACGGAGCCGGTGCCGGCCGGGATCCGCCGACATCCCGAGTTTATCCGTCGGAGAGAAAGTTCTGTCAGAGTTTCGCTCGAGCCGTAAGGGCTGTGTCGATCTTGGAATTTTCTGTCTGCGCCGGAACGAGCCCGAGTTTACGGGGTAGCACACGTTTCAAAACGTAAATTCGGTACGTGCCAGTATGCGCGAGGCGAGAAGAGCTGTTCGAATGGGGCAAGCTGGCAGGCAAACCCGCGAACCAGTCAGTCCGTCGAGTTGATCTTCAATTTGCATTGCTAACAGCTCATTGCGCTTTGCCGCTTGCATAGAACATAGAAGAGACAAGGGCGGAGTGAGTGGCTTCACGGCACGGATGGAAAAGAAGGGGATTCAACGAGCTGCTGAAGGTGCTCGTAGGGAGCGCTCAGAGCACTCGCTCACTCACAGAGCCGACTTCAAGCGCTGATATTTGTACACTAGTTTGAGTGAATGCGTGAACAAGTGGAGCCAGCCACTATCTTACTTCCACCTTGTTCCCCACCGCATCACAGTTTCTATACTCCACCTCCCGAACGCCTCCATCCCCGGACCTCTCTCTCTCTCGTTTCACACCCGTCGCTGCGGCTGTTCTCGTTGGCAGCAGAAGGCCAATTTACCGTCAGCGAGCATCACTTTGTCACAGGTGTCGTCGGGAAAAAAAGTGCCTCAGACCAAAGTGACATCGCTTTGAGCGAAACTCTTTGCATATAACCTCTTGAAACGTCGCCCAAGTCCTCTTGCCTCTCATCTCATTAGCGGCGGCTCGGGGTACGCGTCGGGCATACACACTAATCGAACGGAATCCGGAGAATAATATGGACGGTCCGACGGATCCGCTCGCTCTCCACCCGTTTTTATCGGATAGATATGGCGCGGGCAAGTGATACTGAGTGGTTGCCGATACTGAGCAGAGTCTCGGATCCATTGACCCTTCTAGCGAGCGGATTGATGATTTCGAGTCGACTAGCTGGTCGCCCAGGCATATCGAGAGGAGAACGTGCTTTCCACGTCGTCAAATCTCTCCATGACGTCTCACGCTGGAAGCATTCGGCCCGACTCGGAGGCTGCGGGTCCGGATCCCGCGACCTGCCGACAGCCAGCGGAGACCGCTCTCACGGTCACCGTCGAAGCGTTCTCGATACCATAAGATACCATACGATATTGATACCATACGGTCCTCGAGGCGGATTCATGTTGTTATTGGCTCCGTGGCGTCATAGCGCCCGAAAATCATCTGAAAATTTCCGGAGGTCAACTCTTGGCGGGGAGCCTCGATAGCTCGAATGGAAAACGACTGTCCTCTCGTTGTTTTAGATCCGAGACTGAGAGATGGATTCGCCGCTCCTCTGACAAAAATCATGTACAAAAACGCCGATCCCCCCCCCCGTAATCGTGGCACAGTGCATTCGACAAACAGGGTGGTAACAGACCTACGCTGAGGAATCGGTCTTCATCAGGCTTATGTTGAGTCGGAGCGGAGTCAGCAGTGAACAGAGAAGTATCCTTCGATTAATCTCCGGGAGGAGCCGTTCCGAGGAAACGAGGGCGATCGTTCTCTTAAGATGTCCTGTGTCCCGCTGAGGTCTTCCTTCGTGAAAACTCTCGCGTTTTTTCATGGAAAGCTTTCGGTGGAGCTCACACACAGAGGAGATTCACTGCTTGAACCTCCTCTCGTGAACCTCCGCAGAGGATATCATTCACGTCGCATCGCCGTTCGGCTCAACGACACAAGCAATCCATGGCGTGTAAATCGCGCACGAGACGACTTTCTTCTAGCCCGGCTCGGGGATGGGACATCCCCCAGCGTCCGGAGAATCAATGTCTGAGAACTCCACGAGAAAGGTCAGAGTTGATTCCTCGCGAAACGCGAATGAAACCAAACTTCTCGGTCGATCGAGCGAGCGAGCGAAGTCCGTGGCACCGTCGACTCGGAAAACGGACAAGCTTATGCGGAGTTGGCAGGTGGGGAGCCACGGAGTTGCGCTCCGGGGTGGGGTACGGGCAGTCGCCAATCGAGTTATCGCGTAATGCCTTCTCCACGCTAAAAGCTTCCCGCTCTCAAAGGCACAGAGAGAAATAACGAAACATCGAGAGCAAGCAGAACAGCAGCCGGCAGCTAATATCTTCTTCCACCCGGCTACACTCCTGACCATACTGGCTCTATCCTTCGCTCCACTCACTCTATCACTCATCTATCCATGCTTCCGTCTACCCATCCTCGTAGGTTCCGTCTATTTTCCCCGCTGCAAGTGGCCGCGGGCGATTTCGAAACTTCATCCCAGCTGCCCACGATTGCTCGCTCAACAGCGAACAACTATGCCGGGCGAAAACAACGAGCGAGTCTCTGAGGAGCTCCAGGGTTCGGGGGCTACCGTTCGCGCCTTCGAACGTCGAAAGCTCGAATCAGGCCCAATCCAGGGAAAATTTCTGTTCCGCGGGAAAAGCGGTTCGGATCTAAAGATATACCAACACCTCCATGTCGGTGAGGAACGGAGGCGGCCCGCAGATGGTCCAAGCCTCAGGAACTTTCGCGTCAGAGGCGCAGTAAGGGTCTATTTCAGGGACGAGTTCTGCATGTCGCCATCCGATCAAAGCATTCAGTCGATCACCATGGGATTTTGCCGCGCGAGAAATAATGATTCCTCTGTGCTAACCGTGGCATCATAACAAGATTGAATTATTGGCTGAATTGAGAGCTCGTAAACTTCACGCCGCGTTGAGCACCGCGTTGACGCATATCAGCAGAAGAAAAATGTATCTCGACGAATCGTTCGTGTCAGCGCAGCTCGGATGTCAAGTGGGTGTTGTGTATTGTAAGTGAGTTCATATATCCAATCTGCTGCACATCTTGACCTCCCGTTCGAGGCTGTCAGCGGCATGTCTCTGAACAAATTGTATTAGATGTATATACTAGTCGAGCGGGGATTTCGAGTGCGTTCCTCGCGGATACTTCCGATACCTCGCTTCGGTCGCGGGTTCGCGCATCGCCATCGAATATGTTCAGATGGCTGCGTCGAACGTTGCGCTCTCAACAGTGTAATGTGGATCGCTCTGTCGGAACCTGCTGAGCTAATCATAGCGAGGCGGGAGCTTTGAAGTAATCGGAGAGACCTGAGTGCTTGGTGCTCGTGAGCTGATCCGGACGGACGGGCAGGCGGACGAGCGAGCGAGCAACCATTCAACTGCTACCTGGACGAAGTCGCAGTGCGCGACTGACGCCTCGAACCTCTAAGTGAGTGCCCGTCGTGCAATTGTGCCTAAGCCAAGTGGCAGTTCGTCGGGATAACATTGTACGAGTGAGTTATCGGTCGTAGAGTCCTCGAACTTGTCAATGCGACGAAAGAGACCGCCGCATTTGAAGTTGCCGATTGCTTGTAGCCTCTCTGATTATTATTATTATTCGCACCTCGCATTCCCTCACGACTGATTGCTCTTCCATCCGAGCCCATGATTCGCGCCCACTCAAGTTTATTCAAGCTTCCCTCAACCAGCTCTTCATCCCGAACGGATGGAATCTGCGAGCTAACACACAGAGTCCTGGCGATAGAGTGGGACCCGATTAAACGGTCGATTGCGGAGTTTCGAAAGAGGAGAATTTCTCGAATTCCTTCGGGACATCCGAAGTCGTCCGAGAGTGTTGGTCAAGAAGCCAGACTTTTTACGTGAAAATAACTCGGCATGGCAATCTCTTCGAGTGAACTTCGGATTCGGTGTTCGCCGTCCCCGGAACCTTCCGTGACGCAGATATACGTCTTCGGGCAAGATTCCATGAGCATTCGATCGTGAGGATAAAGTACGTTCCCGGAGCGTACGTCTCGATGGTCTCTTCTGCGCCACGGCGACTTGACGGTATTGCTTTTTCAAATTGGGGCCTCCCGCTGAAGAGCATGGCAGCCTCACACGAGATCTTCATGTGTTCATCGAGTAGTTTGCTTATCACAAATACAAGCAAGAAGAATTTCTCCGAACAGCTTCAAGTTGACAGTGGCGGCCGAAGCGGCAACAAAAACATAGAGCCAATCTTCGCGTCCCGAACTACAATACTTGAAGTTTTACGTCGAAGAATTGGCCTCCTAATACGTTCTAGTGGCTGAGGCGCTCCCACGCACCAACACGGGGCATTTCTTTCGGCGTTCACGCAGTCGGCTCTCGGTCAACGTGCCTGTAGGATTTCTCGGACATCCACGTCGGAGGAGAAGGTAGTCCTTCCGATAATGTGGTGATTTTTTTCTTTTCATTGGGTATATATCGATGACCGGCTATTTCGTCCCTGCACCATTCATGTTCGTCGTTGCTACATGAGATCCTGGTTGTTATCATTGTTGAAAATATCAGGTGCGCGCAGCGCATAGGAAGGTTTTGTATCGAGATCTTACTAATGAAGTTCCACTAGGGTCTTCCGTAGTCTCGCAGACAAACACAAATCCGAGCTATTTCGAATCCAAACAAACTCAGCACCGCTTCCCGGCGTTCGGAACTTAAGAAACCGGGACCGAGTTCGCACACCTGTGTAACCATTGTCGGTGAGATTCAGCATGCGGAAGAGACTCTCAGCAGTTTCTCGGGATGTAATTCTGAATTTGCTCACAAAACACCCAAATCAAATGCATGAATATCTTATTGAACAAACGATGGGGGCTTCTTCAAATCTTCCACGAGTTCGCCGCGTGCTCGAAATGAGCCGCGAAACTGCTGATGACCGAAACAACCTTCATCCGTTGCGAACCATCGCAAATAGTCTAGGAGGAGATTCGTCGGCCCCTTATCGAGCTGAGAGAATTTCGATCCGAATTATAACTCACGAGCGGTCGCGATTGATGGCACAACCCAACGAATCCACGCTCGAGCTTGCCGTCCCTCAGATGAGGTTGCATCGATCTTAGCGGAAAATACGTCCACTGGGCGACTGTGAGCTGGCTCACTCTACTCTGGACAAAGCTCCGCGTGCCAATTGGGCGTCCTTTATTATCCATCCAACAAACTGAAAGCGTGATGTCCATCCATCTGCCTGTTCGCCGCTTATGCTTTTTTCTCGGACCATCCAATCACAGGTAATATGCCGTAAGCTGTCGGCGGACTGCTATAATGACGTCATCACGGCGACTCGGCTCCGATAACGGAAGCGCGGCTCTTTTGACATATGTGTAACCTGGAGAAGGGCCTGAGTAAGAGGAAAGTCAATCTGCACACCAGAAGATCATTACGCATCCATCGAGCTCAATCAATACCCCGAAGTCGAGAGGCGTCATCCTTGACAGGATTCTCATATGTGATTCCCTTACGACCTAGCCGCAGACTGTTCTCGTGAACTTGAAGCTTTCCCAGCGCTCCGAGATGCTGTGGTCCGGGAGAAGTTCCGAGGTGAGCGAGCCACCATCCCCATGAGAATCGGAAGTCCCTCGAATGGAAGCATCCAAACTTGGGCCGAATTAGCATGTCATCGAGCCGGCGGGCGATTCGGGAGGAGGTCTCGTGGAGCTTTTGGCTCCATGCTGACGAAATGAAGAATACACACGAGTACGAATCACCCTCGCGATTTTGTTGAAATTTCAGGAGCGGAGAAGGCAGCAACTCCACACAGAGAGGAAGCACAGGAGAGACAGAGCGGGAGCGCATATCACAACGATTATGGGGCTACGAGAAGGAGATCACAAGCTCAACAAGATTCCCAGAGCATATCGCTTGGATCATCAGCGTGAGTGGATATCGATAAATGACAGCGTAAGAGACTCGCGTGGGGTGATCCTGTCGCCATCTCTAGGACTTCACTCGCGGAGGAGCTTCCTCTGGCTCGCTCAAATTGGCGGTAACTCACGCAGCAATATAATAGCCTGATGCTCTCGATGAGAGCCACAAGCCGAGCGGAAACAAGTTTCTGCCTCACGAGTCAGACTGCATGTGTATGAGGGCACGCTCCAAAAGCCCAAAGACGAGCGTCCGCAGCGGCTTTCAAACATCGTTAAGGTCGAGAGTATGGCCTCTGACGTAATCCGCCATTTTTCTCCCGCAGAATCAATCTGAATCCTTGTCGGAGTCTTCCGCTCGAACTCTGGATTTCCTTCCCCATTTTCCTCCGAGCGAGCGAGGTTCCCGACACTCGGTCCGTGGGCCGGCGACAGATTTCCCTCAGCCATCGCTTTGGTCGAAACTTCTCTGCAGTCGAAGCTGCTGTGCCGCCCAGAATAGCTATGGTAGAAGGAGTTTTATTTCGTGGTCACTCCCCTCGTCGGCACCGAAGACTGCTTCCTTCTGATGACCTGTCGTCAGCCACAACTTGAGGGAAAGAAATCACTTAGCACGGTGGGCTCTAGCTGTCATTATGAACATCCTTGACTTCCGGCACGTGAGTCGATTGTTCTCCTGAATCCGGGGGGAAGCTCCGAAGGAACAAGCTGCTCCCGCATCTCGCTCAAATTAGAGAGGATGAGAAAGCACACGCCATGGGGAGATCTGGGATTACAGGAACGAGGCTCAGGCCGAGTGGCGAGAGACCAACATGAAAGAGACAAGGATTCCCTGGCTGATGAGCTCCGTGGGAGTGAAGATACCTCAGTTCCGGTGGAATCGATCTAAGGTTAATTGCTACGGCTCCGTTGCGTCGGGGTGCCCCGATGACGAACGAACACTCGCGACAGAATTCGATTCGATGAGAGAAGCTGGAGGGAAGGGCACTCCGGTGTACCATCGACGTGTCCGTATACTGAATTCGAGACCCTTAGCACTGCGAAACTTTTGGATATCGTACATATGTCCCATCGATCCGCCTTCGGACTACTCCGATCATCGAGATCGAGGAGCGGGGTGCTCCGAGAGCAGATATTGCGAGATTTTTCTTGAGCGTGGCCTCCGTCCTTTCGACTCCGAGACTGTTGTAGCTCATCTGATCGAGGCCGCCGACGCACGTCCCCAAATTGGCCGTAGCGAGCACTTGATGAAGTATGCGATTTGGTTGTTGTCATCCCGAGCGAATATTTGAGGACGACCCTCGTTAGTTTCGGAGAATCGTAGCCGAATTTCGCGGGAAGGGAACTCTGCGAGATCAAGCAATTGAAGGCGCAAATATTTGTCGTGTTTACGAGGAAGCGTCAACTCTCAAAAGGAGAAAAAAAGGCGTACTATGCATGTGCTTGTGTGTGTGCATTTCATGATGGCCATGTCAAGATTGCTGCTCTGTTCATCTCGATTCGCACGAACTGCGTTGTCGTTCACCCGCTCAACAAATCGACAAATTCACTCTCCTTCCGCTCGGAGCCGATGCTCTGATAATACACTTACAAACGTTAGCATACACTCGCTCTCTTTATTTTTCTCGGTCCGGCGGCCGGCTAACAGATATTTTCACAGCAAAGCAGAGAAAGGACAGACCCGTCATCGTAACCCGACTCCCGTTGTCGAGATGTTCACAGCTACAGACTGGGACCAGCAGCTGGTCCAGAGGAAGCTACACTAGTTCGGAGTCCTTGCTTGTTTGACTGCAATCATCGCTCACGCGTCCTCGTCTGTCAGCAAACCCGAGATCAAAACCACCAAGTCGCACTAATTGCGCATGAATTCCCTAAACCCGGCGCTCTGTGATCGCGCATATATTGGGGCGCATCCTCGCATAATGAGGTCTTCGAAACGAGTGATAAGTAGTCAACTCCGCAAACACCGTGCGCTGCTTTGCCGGAACGCCAGGCGTTTGTGCGAGGGGTCGTTCTCAAATATTTCCGCCTAAGGATATCGAATACTTCCCGATGGGTACATGAGCATCCATCATTCTCTCACAATCTAATTGGGCCAAAGTTCCAGGATACGGGAAGGTCTGTCTCCTTATTTCGCGAAGCGCTTTTTTTCGCCCTCTTGGTGGTTGAGGAAAACTTCCTCGGATATCATTTCTGATAAGGTGTGATCGTGTTCGGGCGATTAGAGAAGTCGTTGCCCAGACTCGAATCGTTGGAACATCAAGCCAACCTCCGGCAGAGGACGAGCAACGATGGGATCTTCGTGTGTAGATCACAAACGAGCGCGAGAAATGTCATTCTGGCGTATGTTCACTAGATTCGTTTTGTTGCTTGCAAGCTCGGTCAGGCAGTCGCTCGTCGTCCGTTCGCTCACCCATTTCGTGTATGTATGGGGTATCTCACTCTCCCGCTCACTGATCGTCGACTTTGAAAGAAGAGATGCTGTTCTCTTGGGAGTCTCCATTATTTGCACAAAGCCCAACTGTCATCACAAAGCAATGTCAGTTAGAGGAGGACCAAGTCATTGGAAACCACTTGGACCACGCCTCGAACTCTTGAAAGAAAGATCCATGCAGCTACATGCTTTGAATGACGATTGGCGACTATTCGACTATGTAGTGGAAGTCACCCCGGCTCGATGGGGAGACGCTGCGGCGGATTCCCGACGCCATCGTGTCCTCGACCGATATTCGTCTCGAAATCAGGAGTCACGGTTCTTGAAGGAGAACCAGGCCTCTAGGTGCTCCGTCACGGAATTTGATCCGAGTCGGAGGGATTTTCCTCCGATGAGAGCATCCGTGTAATTTTGCCAACGAGAGCTCAGGAGCCTGTAGAGCCGACCACGGGGAAACATTTTCATCGGAGTCCTGAGCTCGCCGACGGATCAGCTCTGGCAGACAATAACTAATGAGGGTACGTTGCAGGTGAGAATCCGAAAGACATTGTAACAAAAGGGACCGCAGGCATTGTGTCCCAGGACGAGAATCCTGTTCCATGGATGCGCGGAGTTGAATTGGATAACAGCCTCTTCCATAGAAGTCGTACGGTGGTGGGTCGGATCGATATTGTTGTCAGGTAAGCAGCTTATCTCATTGATGTCTCTGCCTGGATCATCCCACCACGCTTACACGGGGATGAGAGACCCCAGCAGAGCGGATACTCCATCCACTCATATCACATCTTGGACGCCTCATCTGGTGAATACAACAGTCGAAATACGGCTGCAAATACGACGAAGTTTTTATGCAAGCCACATGGAGCCGAATCCGATTAGGGAAAGCTGTTTGTTATTTTGATTATGACTCTACGCGATTGGATCCCGCGCTGATTTCCCTCATTATCAAACTGGGGCTTCGACAGGGTTTCGCTTCTGCCCTGAGAGCCGTTAGCGCGGTGAGGGGAGACCGAGTGAGTTCTGGTGTCGCGGGTCACCGGAAACAGAGCACCGATCGCCACACCCTCAATTTCCATGCCTAGAACGGGAATTGCGAAATAAAATTCGGCGCAGACATCTCTCCGGTCGTGTCGAGAGAGCGTATTGTTTTTGAAAGATTCATCCGGGGATGGTCATTCGATTACAACCGTATGACAAGGCAATGCGTTTTCATCAAAGCTCATCGGGAAAAAATTGTGGTTCCCTCGATGACGGCCAGCAACTCGTGTATTCGTCGAGCTTGGGGGAGCTGCCACGCCGGTCCCAGTATTTCCTGAGGAATAGCTTTGTGAGAGGGGCTGGATTCCTTTCTCTGGAGGGTGATACCGGCCAGCGATGTTCGAAATCTCCTGTGGCCGTAAAAGCGTATATGAATTCGTATATTGTGTTTTGCCGCAGAGGCAACGCTCAGAATCGTGTCGCAGCCACTGCAAAATCACATAAGGATCGGAGCGTTGAATAAGTTCCGATTCGCCGGCAACGCCACGGAAGAAGGTTCGAGCGCAGGGCGAAAATACTGACTGAGTCGGGTCCGATAACCGAGCCCTCTTCCGACGGTAGGAACGGCTGCCGAAGGCCGGTAATTCCGTGTTTCTCGTAAATGTGGAAACTCTCGAGGTCCGGGATACCGCCCATCGTGAGCTCCTGCGACGACGAGAATGAAATCCCCAAATGCTCAACACATACGCTCGCAGCCGCGACGGCGTTTCCCACCCCAACATCTTTATGAGCCCCGTCGACGTCGGTATCGCCCCCTGGTGGCCGCAAGCTCAAGGTTCTCGTAGATCTCACCGGGAGAGCGCTACCGCAGAGACCTGGCTCCAACATGATAGGACTCATTCCAATCGATGTTCGGCTGGTGTTATAACTGCCTGCAGTCGGGTGCCAACCCCACGCATCGTTGTAGGGGGCAGGCATTCCGCGGGAAGGCATTCCATGACTCGGAACTCCCAGTTGAGATCACAAAGATCAACCCCGGAACTATTACGGCACATTGCACCGAGGAGGAAGAATCTTCGGAGAGCAATTCATCGACTTCGATGATTCTCCGGATCGTTATGTGGTTCGGGAATCTATTCCATAATTCCCAATCTTCTAGGTATCCGTTGAGCTCTCGGAAATGTTGTTGACCTCGGAGCGATGACGTTGCCGTTTTGGCTCGGCCTGAAGTCGTGTTTCTGCGCATAGGGCAGATGATCCGGCCGCTACCCGACCAGGTCTCCTCAACGACTGATCCTCTTTTACCTCCGTCGAGCGATCTCAGAATCAGAATGGTTCTAATCAGTTCCCGCCCCATACGACTCTGCTGCTCGGGCGCAATCGGTTCACTTCCGTCTCTTTTCCCAAAAAAAGAAAACAGCTTGCAGGTCGCCAAGTCGAGCATTCACTTCGGTCGGCTGAGTTGTATGATCTGTGTCGGCCAGCGAGTGAATGGGAACGCGTCACATGATTATTTGATTCGATGACGGAATGCCGATGGGATTCCTGCTCCAATAATCAATTCCTCTATCGCTGTGCATCGCAAACTGACAACACTTCTGACAAGAAGAGCCAGGTTTCCGGTGACACTCCGAAAGAACCGGTGGCAGCCGTCTGACGGAGCTAATAATTCGCGGTCAAGCTTCGCACTCGTTCAGCCGGTAGATTTTTCTTCGCAGCGCTGGCATGACATCATTCCCCGAGCATGGCATCATTAACTTGTTTCAATGCTTTCAGAATGCTTCTATTATTTCAGTAAACTCCAATATCGAAGATTGAGAATAATTTACATATTTATTGTGGGTATTGTACAAACTAGCAGATGATTCCGGCGGTTTGATGAGATTGTCGCCGGGGACCGCGGAGCTCCACGAAAATTGTGGCCGAAGACGCGCGTGATAAAATTCTGCACCTGAACCGAATCCGAACGTCGGAGATTCAACGATGATTTTCGAAAGAAACAAGGTTCGTCCAGAAGTCCGGTCTGATCACGTTAACGGATGAATTGTGTCTTCGGAAACCCATCCGGATTTCTCTAATTCAGCGGCATCGTTTCCGGGGATCCATTGAGGTTCGTGTCGTAGCCATATCGTTTGTCGGGCACAACCAGACCCCTGTACAGCGTCAAGTAGAATTTGCGAGCGGAAATAGGGGAGATATTCTTCGAAATCGTCGTCAGGACGTACCAGTCGGCGTAATCCAGAACTTCGCAAATTTTCCTCAGTTTGAATCTCTCGCCTTGATTGAAGTACTTCATCAATCTGAGTACCCTCAGCTCCGTGGAGAAGAATGACGCCAATCTCCAAAGCGTGATGCCGGACGATGCGACCAGCAGGAAGAGATACCAAAACCAGAGAAACAAAAATATTTTCTCGTTGACAACATTTTGTCCAAGTAAACAGAGCGCGTCCTGTCGCTCAAGATCTCCACTGGGTCCGTATAAATGGAAGGTGCACTTTGCCATGCGAGGGAAAACCTTCTGGAGATGGCCTGTCGTGGTCATGGAAACGATTCCGAGAGTCAGGAATTGATAATTCAAGAATACGTCGGTCAGGAGGATCTGTCCGACGAGATTGATTAAGAACAGAGCTTCCCCCACATGGAAATAGGTTGCGATCGGCGCGTGAGTTCCTTTGTGCGTGATCATGTACTCGGTGAGGATTTCATCATCGTCGGTGCTGATCAACTTTGTAAAGAATCCATTCTCGTTGAGCCGCCAAATGTATCTCGGTAGATAGAAAAAAATCGACTGCATGATCAGCACCAGACAGACCCACTGATAGTATCGATGGTAGACAGGCCGCGAGGTGTTCCGGGCGTTATAGACACCGGGATGCGCTGTGTCGGGCGCGAAGGGCAGCGTGAAAGTCGAGTGGATCCAACAGTAGGTCTCGAGGATCTGATTGGGCACCGTTTCCGGTTGCTGGAGACAATCGATGGCGTTCCCGAAGTGCTCGGCTGAAGTTATCAGGAATCCGACGATAATCAGCATCGCCGAGGTCACTTTGTAGTGGAGCTTGGCGACGACGTTGTTCGTTTTCACTGGGGAGCCCCGTATCGCGTTGTACATGGGCTGGACCAAGAGGTCCAGCATAGCGTTGATTGTCGCCATGATGAGAACTCACGACAATCACGGAGGCACACACTAGCACCGAGATATCCGGACGATGAGTTGTAGTGAGTTATGCGACGGGCGTGTGTCGCCAGCTTGCTCGCTCATCAAACTTCCAATCGAACGGAGGAGGCAGTAATGCGGCTTATTTCGATGCGACGTGACGTCGTCTAGAATCCGGATCGTCAACTCGGAGGGAAGCGCGGTCGCGGCCAGTCTGTCTGTCCATGTATCGGGCGATCGGTCATGTGAGTTCCGCGACAGATGTTGCAGTCGAGCGAGCTTCCGCAGGCTTACATCGCATGAAAGTCGAGTGCACCGTACACGGACGACACCGCTGTTGGAGGTCGGGAGCTGCTTTCTGTCCACTATCCGCCCTCAAGTAACCCACCGGAGCACTGAAAGATTTCCATTAGGCAAATCACGTCCCTCGCAATGTTCCGCTCCTCTTCACGAACATGGAGTTTTCAGTGAAGATGAACCAAATCCTTTCGGCTGTCTCCCGCACTCACGAATACGCAGCCCTCGAACAATTATTAGACAGAGAGGGATTAACACCTGGTATCTGCTGGCTGCCCTCATTTTAGAACAAAAACTCCACGAGAACTCCACAATTTATTCGATAGATATACAACAGTTGGAGTGTTCACATCGGAAGTCGGCGGCGCCACCGCCATTCATAGGGGTCCGCAAACATCAAAAGTCTGGCTTCCAGTGGTGCACACACAAACCTCAGAACCATTTTGCCAGGCGTCGAGAATCTCGCGGAGAACCGTCAATCTGTAAGCAATCGATGAGTAGGAAATTCCATATGCTTCCGTGGAAGACACAGAGTTTGCGTACGGCAGCCCGCCTCACCTTCGGGTGAATAATGCGCCCCCAACGCCAGACCCCACGGAACAGATCTCGGAGCAGAGCTCTTCGATCTGCTGTCTTCTCTCCTTGTAGGCCTTGGACGGCGACCGCAATTCGGGTCTGAGTCTCTTCTCAGATGCTTCATCGAGCGATTCTTGCTGCTCCAAATCATTTGGCGTCTTAAAAACTTCATCTTCTATGCCGAGGGGAACCGCTGCTGAGTCGTCCGGGACGGGATGTTCGCTCTGCGCAACGGAAGTGGTCAAATTCGTACGGAACCCAGATAAGAAGATTACCCATATAGACTAGATTCAGAGAGAAGATCTTGCAGTTGCTTCGCTCCGGTATCTTCCTGTCGAATTTACCTCTTCCAAAACCTGAATTTCCATATTCTCCTCTAGCGTGTCTTTTCCAATTTCATCTTCCTCTTGCTCTATGACATCGTCGTTGGCTGTGATCGGCACTCGGACTAGTTTCTCAGGGTCTCCGTGAATCCGGATATTGTTCCGTTTCCAACGGTCGTGGACCAACCGCTCATCGTACAAATCCATCTGTGAGAGAAATTCAGTCTCATGATTTTAGATCCCCCCGGACAAAAGCTCTAGCATTGATCGAGCTGGAGTTTTCCCAACCATCGTCGGCATCTTTGGTGAATTATGGCGCGTAATTGCGTGGAGCTTCATTGATTGATCAGTGATCTCCCAGAGTCTCTGGCGAATTACCTGGGATCCTATCCGGAACGATAACAAATGGCAACAGGGCAGTTTCATGATTTTGTACGCAAAACAAGAGCATCCGTCTTTGCTCGTTATCACTTTCGTCATGCGTTCGTCGGTCTGGCTCACCGTCACCATCGTGCTCGCTTCCCCGAGCTTGATTCCTCGTTCGAACACATTGAACTGACCTGGGAGCGAATGGAAAGGGTTGCAACTCGGACGGTATCGCGCGTGGATATCTTTCAGAATCCCTGAGCCTCTGACATCACATTCCGTTCATTACCTCTGAGATACATGTCTGCGAATTCGGTGATGAGACCTTTGTACTTGAACTCTGCTTCGTCGACAGTTGTTTTTGGTTGGTAGCGACTTTGGTTGACCTTCATGAGTTTATCGAGGACATCGCCGTAATATAGATCGTCGAGAATCACGAAGAGGTCAACAAGTCTTGTGAATATGGAATAATGAGTTGGCGCTGAGTTTGTCATTATGGTCTTGATATGCCGTTTGAGTTTGAGCATTTTCTTGAGAACGTGTTCGTGCTGACTGTCGTCGTAGGGATGCGTGCTCATGTTCCACAAGCGGTATTTCGGCTCCCAGACCTCCTCGAAATGCGTGATCACGACTTCGGATATAGACAAGACGGCGGTGAACTCTTCCTTGATCATGTGCTTCATTTGATCCGTCGGACAGAAAATCAGTTTTTGGAAATGATCGGTCGCTGTGCGTTTCCCTGGAGATTATCACCTCGATCAGACGAATGAAATGAGCATCCAATTTTTCAGCTTTGGTGATTCAATGACCAGAAGAGGCATTGAAAATCATTTGAGTCCGCCTGACCACTGTAAGGCGGCTCTCAAGGAGCTCATCGGCTCCTCATATTCAATTTGCCCAACGGGCCGAAAAATCTCACCGGTTTCACTAAGATGACACGTCCTACAGCTGAGTTGTGTTTTAAACGATTGAATGCTTTGCGATGGCTCCCACAATACTCTGGCCTGAGTAAAACTCTGCTTGACGTCTATCGAGGTATACGGCTCGCCGACCAAACACAGAAGAGTGGAGTTTGCAGATGATGGGTGTTGTCCTGCGAGACGCATCTCGAATGAACTACAGTCATTTCGGACGAGTGGGTAACCGATTTTCGGAATGCGTCGGGGCTACTTACGGACAAACTCGTTCAGAAGCCACTCGTACATGGTCTCGTTGCTTTTCAGAATCATGGCCGACATGACGGGACGCACCTCGCCCAATGAGTCAACGACGAAGAAGAGGATCACATGAGTGAAATTAAGTGAATCGATAAAATTTGAGGAATCGATGGTCAGGATTTCGGGATATTCCTCGTAGAGCGCTCGCATCTTATCGTTGCAGTAGGCCAGCGCTACAACGTTGTTCGTGTCATCCACTGCCACTGTCAGATCGTTAGCTGAAGGGAATGGAGCAAACACAGCTAATTAGAGCTCAGATTGTGGAGGAAAAGTGAAGGTCGATCTACCACATCCTCGTGAGCGTTAGGAAACCCTAAATCGCCTCGAAAGTTGATCTCGATGCTCATATTTTGATATCGAAATCCCGAGCCCCCGATCGGGATAATTCCCGATCCGGAGGAACTCACCATACAGGGCTGATATTTTATCGACGGATTCCTGGAGGGTTAGATCGGCCTCATTGGCGACTACAGTTGATAATAATACTTTGAGCTGAGCTTGAGCAGAGGATTTCAAGCGAGTCTGTGAATATGCAAGATATCATTGTATGCGACGCCCGCTCAATTCTCTCCTCAGAATTAGAGATTCGCATGTGATCGCTGAAGAAGCGAGCTTCGAAAGTGAATTGAGTCAGGTAGTGAATCAAGGACGCGTACTTTTTTCTTTACGTATTTCGACTTCTTCTGAGGATCTTCATGTTTGATTCCGATCTGTTTCGATGTGATTTGGTGGTAGATCTCCTACGGAATTTTCGAGGTCGTTATTGGAAGTTCATCTTCCTCCACCGAGGGATGTACTTGGCTCACTGGCATCGATAACTTACAGGACAAGAGCCGTGATTGTGATCGTATACAACTTGCATGACCCGGAAGAACTTGCCACAGTCCGAGATTCTCGTCCGAATGAGGGAAGGGCAGCCGATCCGGATAGTTCTAGACGGGAGAGACGCTCAAGATTCTTATGAGCTCCTGACCTCGTTTTATAAATTGAAAATCAATGCTCTGAGAAGGTCGGAAGGTGGTGGAATCGGGCTTACTTTGATCTTCGTTCACCACGACTTCTGCAGAACGGCTTTCCTCCTCGCACACACAACCAGAGACACGAATAGTATTTGAATCGTCCATTATCCTCTACACGTTTAATTCCCTTCCTCATCGCCGACTGGAGCGTACGTGCCTCCGCTTTGAAGTATTTGTGATAGGTGAGATACTCGAACTTGAACACCGCTGCCTCAAGCTCTTCGAAATCCTTGAATTTCTGTCCCTCATAGATGATTGTCTCCGGATCTTCGCCGGTGGCGCTGCTGAAAAAAGGTATGACGCGGAATCGTCAGCAGAGCACATCTTTTAGGAGCGTCTCGAACTCGGATCATTTGCTGATCTGTTCCCGGGGCTCATGTCAGAGAGAACATTCTCTGCCCGGATCTCCCGCCTTCGGAGTGATATGCCGTGTGGACTTCATGCGATTCGAGGAGGAAGCCTTTGACGATTCTGTCATCTGAAGGTGGACTCAAGTTTCGGATATACCTCGCATGGGATTTCAATCGTAAATATTTCCGCTTCAATTTCATTTTCATGCCGGCAACCGTGCGCGGACTACATGCCTCGTTCAGCTTCGGAAGGTCGTTACATCGTCGTCCAAGAATCGGAAACCAATGCGGGAACCGAAAATGGCCATGGAGAACATACTCGGACCGTTTCTAGGAACCTTAAGGTACAATTGAATTTCAAAGTCAAATCTGCCAAACCCAGACCCCAAGTCACTCATAGTGACATACCCCCGGGCGCGAAGAATCTTCTATTCAGAATCTTGGAGTTCCTCCGCGCAGGCGAATTTCTCAAAGAATAAATTTATGTTTACGCGCAACCTCGATGATGATTATTTGCACCGATCGGGACAGCGATTTCCGAGTCTGTTGCCCAGCACAGGCTCGAAATTCAAGTCTAGCCAATGTCCAGCGCTTCTAACTGATAGTTCAGGCATCACGGTCGCTCCTCTCAGGACTCAGGATACCATTGGCAGCGACTACGCAGATGTCGAATTTCTTCTGCCAAAAGATATGCAGGCACTCATGGTAAATGAAGCTTGGAACCGCAATTCCTTGTTCCTTCCATGACCAATTCATGACTCCGGAGAGCCGCATCTATTCGAGGTGTTCCCTCTGGGATGGGAGGCATAGGAACGCATGGGAAGCCGAGTACACGTCCCTAGATACATCGGTCGTTTCCAGCCGTCCATGCGAGCCTGGATTGACATCCCATCGCCCCATCGCTCGGCAGACTGAGTGTGCGCCAGATGGAAATTTCCTGGTTAGTTTCTCGCCATGCCACTACCAAAGTAAGCCGTCGGAGCTATTCACCTGGATGCCATTTGCAACCTGTCGGCAGCAGCAGCGGTGACGGGATTCTCGAAGCTGCTGACACGAATTGTTTCGGTTGCCTCAAAGTCATTCGGATCGCACTCGACTTGGCGGTCTCCTTGCCAAAGAACTAATTCAGGAGTTATCATTGCACGAGTGTTTGAGAGGAGTATGTTTGAGGAGATTTTTTCCGAACCAAAACAATGATCCGCGGCCCTAGCGGCACGAGGAGGTCTCTAAGCACTCGCGCTCCCGCTCTCGAGCCCTGAATTTTCTTGAGGTTCTCAAGGCAGAGCTCTGGTGAACAGCATATTTGGAGCACATCGGGTGTGCAGTCGGTCAAGTGAATGGTGCGAGAAAAATGGAAAAGGAAGAACACCGTTCGCCCCTTCCTTTCGACGTCTCTGCCGCCGCTGCTACTTTCCCGGTTGCCAGTGCTGTAGAAACGGGAAATTTCGAGGGGATAGAGGCATAGCGCTCCCCAGTAGCGCCCGGCTGAAGAGCGGAAAAGCGCATGGAACTCAATTGGAGTTTCCTTACGAAAAAAACGTCCGGGACACGAATGGGGTTACCATTCCGAGGACAGTCCACTTCTCGATGTGGAGCAATCGATCACGAATAATCATGCGGAGTCCCTGCTGGATCACTGCGCCGATTTACGTCCGTCTCCTCGGCGCGCGACAATGTCGTCGAATAATCGGTGTGGATCGAGCTGCTCCATGCTGGATCCGCGCCGTATCCATTGATAGACATTAGACATACGGCATAGGGGTAAGTTTTTCGATCCGTTTGAGACATGAGGTAACGGGCAGGTGGTGGCGTCCGCAGGGAAACACTCTGTGGCGCTATGAGCATTCAATATGGCAACCCCTGCTTCTTAGGCTAAGATCCTGTGTTCGCGATCGTTATTTATCGCTATGCCCCGTGATCCAGCGTTGTTCGCTCGGGTCTTAACACGATCCAAGCGCGGGATATCGCGACCGGGAACGACATTCGGGAGAGGGGAAGAGACCGCTTGATCATGCTTGCGATTTCAGTAAAGATCATCGACGTCATTGTCTTCACTCTCCCGTCCGCAGATTTCGCTTCTGTAAAATTTTCCCCCCGTACGTCTTGTGCGGGTCCACCATAGACTAGAAATAAGTACAGCTGTGCTTGTTTTGCACAAACGAAAGAAGAGTGCGGCGTTCGAGGGTACAGAAGGCTTGGTGCTCCCCGTGCTAGTCAAACCCCAAGTCTTAGAGGAAAGGATCACTGTCGCTCTTACGGGTGGCGGAGGACCAACAGTCACACACTAAGACGGGACAAGCAGTCCCTTGGAAACGGGACGTCGACGGCAACAACGCAAACAGGAATCTGAGTCCCGTCACTGTGCGTTTCCTCGACTGACCGACTCTTCCGACAACATCATCATCGGACAGTTTCCGTGGGCCTTCGTAAAAGTGGCCGGAAGCCAGCAGCTGTAGTTGTGCTCGCAGGTGGTGGCGGTTGAGCTTCCGAAGACATGAGGTGATGTGCGATCATGGCAGCCCTGGACGCGGCAGAGGTACGCAATTCGGTAGAGATCTCTCGTGAGCGACTCCTTGTCTCTCTCGATCTGTTGCTTCCGCCGTAGACTTTTTGGATAGGAATATGATGACATTGGACGGACGTTTCCGCGTTCGATCGCTGTTCTAGCGAATTTAGTTGGCCACTCGATTCGAATTCGCAAAGCATGAGTTCCCCTCTCGGGATAGAACGCAAGCTAGAATCTAACGGTTGTTCCTCACTCGGCCCAATGGGGTGTTCCTCTCGTGCCTGACTCAGCTGTCGATCGATCGTCATCGCCTTGACGTGGTCGATGGAAAGAGAGCCTTCTTGAATATATGTACAAGCTCTCACTCGTATGAGGCGTCCTTGTGTGGAACCCATCTGCAGGAATGCAGAAGTATTCCTGCGATGAATCTAGAATGCAGTGTTAGCACATCGTGACGTTATTCCGGTCGCTTTGGACGAGTCCGAGCTTAGGAGTGGTTTCCACTAAGACTTTGTTTACTCGTGTTCCCGATGTTTAGGATGGACACTCTTCACATTTGATTTGGAAACCGCTCTTTCCCTCTACCATCGTGACAGTCGTTCCCGACATCGGTGTGCCGTCAACTACATAGATGATTGTTTTGCATTTCCCGATTCCGCTCCCCGTCCAATTTCTCCGTCGAGCTCACGCAGAGAAGCGGCCAGCTCTCTGTAGATCGGGAACGGGATACGGGAAGTGCCAAGAAGTGGTCCAACGAACGCTCAGTTCTCCATTAGCTCTTGCTCTGCTCGAATTCGTGTGGAGCCCATGCTCGTAGCTTAAAGCTATCTCCGAATTTTAGAGGTAGATTCAACGGAAACGTGTTCGAGAAAATGAGCGGAAGCATGGAAAGGGGATGGAGTCATAGGGACCATCGCTCGAAACAATTCATATAGAGGGATGACCGAAAAACCGCTTCCTTTAGGAGGAGCGTCAGTCGCTCTGGTTGCGAAAGGCAATGAATTCGACCAGCTCTAGTGAGACCCGATAATTCGGGATCCACGAAAAGAGGCACTTCAATTCGATAGGGACGAATGTATCGGAATGTCAGTGACAGGACGGCGAGGAAACTCCGTTCTGCTTGAGCTCTGAGGTCGATATTCATCCGATCTAGGATCGGTACACGATACGCATCCATTCCGAGTGTGGATAAGCCGGTCGAGATCGTTCGCCTGGGGAATTTCAGCCCCCCACCTAGGCACATGGTCCTAATTCAATGGAGTGGTCTGACGAATAATTATCGTTCCTTAGGATCAATATAGCCATTGAAATTAATTATCATCATTCCGTTCTATGAAGATTCTATCTGACAAATCGATCATGCGTCTTATTTGGGCTCGAATGAGACGAAAGGGTTCCGAATTCACGGGGAATTCCCTTGCCCCCGAATCTCCCGCTTCTCAGACGATTCCGCTGCAATCGATCCGATCCCTGGACCTACTAACAATGAGCAGTGCGTCATGGCAGCACGGATTTTTTCTCTCGTGGACAACAAGGTCAACTGGCTTTGAAATCGTGTAGTATTTTTACGGCTTCCCTAGTCATCTACTCCTCTATCACTCACTCATTCTTTCCGTTTCCGTCTCTTTACTACTGAGGTAGTGTATACCGCTAAACTTAGGGATCCTCTTGTCAGACGATGAAGTCGAGTTCAAGGTATCGACATATGTTCCACCAGAAATTATCGTCATTGGCCAAGCATATCCATCTGGGCGAAGCAGATCTGGAAGTTCGGTATCGTTCCTCGATGAATTCATCCGAGATTACGATTTTTTCGTGGAGTCGAGGTTCATCGAAACCTGATCGTTGGAGAGCTTTTCGGTCGAGTCGCGATCTGGTTCCTATCCTCGAGAAGTATAGCTAGTCATCAAGACTGATTCCGACACGAACACTGGCCAAGGGAGGCGAGTAGTAAGCTGAGAAGGGAAAGTGTGACGGGGAAATCATCGGATCAGAGCTCAATGGTGCCGACTTGATCCAGGGTATCGATGCTTTGGAAATCTCTCGGAGAATCTATATCTCGACCCCGGATATCCTTGAATCACTAAATTATTACTTACATTCCGAATCGATCAAGAGCGACCGACGACTCCTATCGGGGTGTTGAAGAAGCAGGATTGAATCCATGAAAGATCAGACATCGAGACGAGACGACGGCGAATAAGAATGTTGTCAAGCGTCGCATTAATTCCCCGGGAACTGGGCAGTCTTGTGTGAGTTTTGCTGAAAACGATCATTCGTTTCGTGACTCAATTTTGAACTTCACTGAAAGCGATTGAATCATCGGCGTGAGTTTCATAATCACGAATTGCTCGAGGTCAGACTTTGGGATCCTGTCGGTTTTATCACTGTCCACTTTGCCTCAGAAGTACACATTTACCAGTCTTGGGATTCTTCAAATACCAGAAGCAGAGGGCTCCCGTACCGACGAAATCAGATGTCTTGTCCACCTTTGGAACGATCAAAGATGGAGGCATCGTAGAAAGAGATTCGAAGCCTCACCATGTTTCATCAATGGCTTTGAGCTTGACCAGCTAAACTGTTGAGTCACAAGTTGCGACCTTCAGCCTTAGGCAAGGAGGATCCATGCTATCGATTCAGACAGGGAAATGCATGAGCTCTGGTACCCAAACAATCCCAGGAGCTTCCGGATTCGTTTTCGGATAGCCCCAGAGTGAAATTTTGTCGATCCCGCCGCTAACTCCCAGAAACTCGATCAAAAATATTTTCACATTATTTGCAGGTGTCGCCGGGCCCCGTCCTAGGGAGCGGGGTCAGTCCAGTCCAGGGAACGGAGGAGGAGCGATACCTCGTTGTGAAAATCCTCGCTGGTCATAACCTTGCCAAGAAAGACATCTTCGGTGCCTCTGACCCATACGTACGGATCAGAGTTATATTCAATGAGCAAACGGTAAGAGCGTATGGATTTAAGGGAAACACATCTTAGGAGAGCCTCGACGTTTCGGACGGAATTTCCGGGGAATCCAATCCGGGGAGCTCTTCAGTTCCTGATGATTGTTTGAGAGGACCGCTCATCGATAAGCCGTCACGTTGGTCGATATTATGCGAGGGACTACTCAAAGCTCTGCTCCGGGGACTTGAGGAGCGCGACACGAGCGATGTAGAGCAGACGCGTCATCAAGCGAACTCTCGATCAATGTTCGACGCATTCCATCGCCGCAATACTCATTCTGGAGGCTCCGGAATCCGGAGGTCTCTCGGAATATCTCGTTCCCAACCCTGAAATATGAAGCGTGTGGAAGAGCATTGCGTCCGGAAGGGACCGAAGTTCTCGGACCCTTTCGGCTGCGGATTCCGCTGTCCGCCGGACCACCATGAGGTCTCATTGTCTCATATGGCTTCCGGTGTCGTGACAAGTCTCAGGGTGAACCTTCCCTGAACAACACGGTAGGGTGGAGTCCGTGTCGTGCAAATCCACTTCGGGCCTCTATGCATTCGACACAAGCTAGATTTTTTGCGCTCAAGTGTCTCCCGAGAAGAAAGAAACTGTTGAGAACTTTGTCGATCATTGAGCCAAAACGTGGCTCGAAGCCTGGCAGCTTTTTCCAGCTTCTTGTCCAAACCGGGAGCCGACCGGTTCACGCCTGAATGAGCTTTCCGTGATCACAGACTCACTGATTGATGATGAGTACCGGGTAATAAAATCTGTTCGCTCATATTCCAGGTCGATGCGTTTTACACGAGGACGAAGAAGCGGACATTGAATCCGGTATGGAATGAAGAGTTCAGGCTCTTGGTTCGACCTCTGCGGCACAAGGTTCTTCTCGAAGTATTTGATGAAAACAGATTGACTCGAGATGACTTCCTCGGTGTCGTTGAGCTGCCACTGCATCAGATCGGTAAGTTCGACGGAGAAACGCATGGAATTTCAGTCGACGTACCTACCGCTAAGAAATCTCCCTCGTGCTCGCGAGGTTTCGTTCGATGTGAGAGACTCCTTGGTCAGATATTGCCGGTACCTTCCTTAGGATGTGTGCTGGCCTCTTTCGGTGACGGAGCAGAATGTTCATTTCAGGAGAGGATCCGTCTGACAAATTCTACGTTCTACGGCCTCGCAGCGCTAAGAGCCGGGTGAGGGGTCACCTTCAACTTAGTCATTACTACGCTGCCTCCAACGAGGATCCCCTTCAGGGTACGACTGGCGCAGAACATGGGAGAGTTCATGGTTCTGAGGTGAGTTCCCCATCTCCCCTTTCATTCTCGTAGCAGATAGATCCCGCCGGGGATCTGCGTGAGATTTAGCAGAGAGCCGACGGCGACGTCTCGAGATCTCTGATTCCGTAGCGCTGGATCCTTCTAGGCTTCACCAGTGAAGCACGTGTGTAGGGCTCCGGGTTTTATTCGCTGTCGATGTCTTCGCCTTAACGCAAGAACTACTCGCGGTGACGTACCGCATGCCGAGAGATGTCTTAAATGCGAGGATCAGAATCCGATGAGAAAAAATTGGAAAAGTTGAAAAAACCGCTGACCTCCTCGCCGTTACGAGGTTGGGAAGCACCGTTGTAGATCAACGCTCCACATCCCGCTTGATCGAGATCCGCGGGAAACACATGGGAAACGTACGACGTCCCCTATGGATGTCCATCTACCCGCATACAGAGATAAACAACAGTGCTCTCTGAAAACAACGTCGGCTTTTCCCGGGAGAGATCGAATAGCGGAATATTTAGAATACTCTGAGTGTTTCGATTGTCCCACTCCGGAGGCCGCCATTCCATGCGGATCAAATTCTCCGGCAACATGTTTCCTCGTAGGTTCCCTCGGTTCAGGGCAACCTCTTCGAGTGCCAGGGAAATCCCTGAGGTAGGTTCCTGACGCCTTCGTCTCGTTTTTCTCCGAACGAAGCAGATCGTTCAGGAAGTCCAACTCCTCGATTATATGTCGAGATCGTCTCCTTGGGGAGCTCTTCTGGAATCTCGATGTATGTCTGGGATTTCTGAATTCGCTCGCAAGGCCCTCGGATTTCGAGCCGTTGTTTTTCAGTGAGCCTTTCATACATCTGACTGAGATTCTTTCCGCCCCTTACATCGGGGTCCGGCTCTTTTCTGGGTCGAGACAAGGTGTTTCGATTGAAAGGATGGAGAAGTAGAGTGTTGCTCCATCGGCAGAAGCGTCTGCTAGATAAGTCATAGGCGTGAACTCGACTTAAATAGCGAGACAGCGACTGTAATTGACCAAAACGTTCGACAGAGAGCTTGTGATCGTAGTGAGAAGTGGCCGACGTTCGGCAGCTTATCGGGATGGATAGCAGACTCTCTCAAGCAATACGTTTGTACTACTCGGACGACATTGAAGAAGGAACTTTGCGCAGTTTAGAAATTCAGTGTGACCAAACTTCTGAAGCATCTGCACCGGACGAGAGTTCCACCTCCAGGGTTCCGAGGAGGCAGCTCTCGACACCACAACCCGCGCGGCGAGTCATGTCTCGAGAGGTCGGTGATCGAAAGTCGAGTGCTGTAGGTTGTGAGAAAAAAACATTCCACCGTTGAGCGGAGGGTGCTGAGAAAACAAAGAATCCTTCAAGGCTACTTTGTGAAGATTCGTAGTGCGAGGACGTCGGCGATTTCCGCAGTCGTGAATTCAGACCTCGCTCTGCGGCCTCGGCTACTCGTTGGAGAGGGAATCCTCCCGGGAAACGCCGCCTCCTCACGCCGAGACTGAGCAATCGAGGCGGAAATGGAGCTGACGGCTCACTCGCCAAGCTATTCATCGAGGGAAGCATCTGATGAATAGTTCGCGTAGCGTCGGGTATGGAATCGAGGTCTTCTTGAAAAAGTGGTCCGACCACCAAAGGAAGCCTTAAAGGCGAGCCGTGGGCCGTTCTTCCGACGGCAGGCACCGCTGGAGATACTGCCGGAGATTGGTTTGGAGCGTTCACTGGAAAACAGTATCGTAAATCGATGCTCGGTCGCTCGAGAGCGTCAAAATATCACTCGGTCCCTTCTTGGGAGCTGCCGATTGAGTCTCGCTCCACCAACAGACAGCATGTCTCGAGTTTCATTGATTGATGGAGATTTCTTCTCGAGGTATGGGGCGAGCATGTTGAGTCAGGGGATCAATCAGGGGACTTCGGTCTGTCGCTCTTCCTGCCAGTCCCGAGCCTAAGGAGGGGCGCTGTGCTAATCCGCATTCAGTTTTACTCAGTCCGGCTAGCTGACCGCGAGGTTCCGGGACCGCGGAGATCTAGCCGACGATGCTCCCGGGAGCATGCGGAGTGCGGGCACTGGGCCTTGCGAACGCGGTCATTAAAATAACCGCGGTTGCGGTGCCTCCTCAACATTGGACATCATGGGGCATAGCGAATGACCGCGGTTTCTCAGGAAATATGCGGTTTCTGCAAAGTCCAGTGGTCACGAGAATGTCAAGGTCCGACGACGATCACTATTCGAATCAAATCTATCCCTCTATGACTCGACGAGATTTTCCCGGGATGGCTAATTCGCAGATTTGCATTACCTCTCGTTGCTATACCAAAGCGATGCTCGTCGACTCTTGATCCATCGCGATCAGTTCCGAATGGAGGAGGATTGCGGGATTGACCGTCTTTGGGCAGATGAACCCCCTCTCAGATGACAGCTCTGCGAAATTTCGATCTACTGTAGAATTCGGGGCCGACTGTGAACTACTGCCCTCATAACGAGTCGCTCTTGCCTCGGTCTGGTGGTCAGAAGTAATATTTTCCTCGTTCCCGGAACCGGCAGCAGTCCAACCCGGATTCCTCGTGGGAGATCGTTGGCAGCGAGGAGGCGACACCTTTACCGGAAGGCTGGGAAGAACGCGTGGACGCGAACGGACGTACGTACTACTTGAACCACATTGAGCGGACAACTCAATGGAATCATCCGAGTGGATTAGGCCGAACGACGGAATATCGCAACACACACAACAACAGCACAAGCAGCGGCGGTGGAAGCGACAGCCACAGCGGCGGCATCGGCGATTCGAGCGTGTCAAACTTGCAAAGCTCACATCACCATGGTTCGTATAATCTGCGATCTCCGTGAGCTATGTATATGGATTGCTTGCCTGCAGCGACTTCCGCAGAGGTGCTGTCGTTGGTTCCCCGCTCCCAACAAAACCGGGAAGCTCATCATTTCGATTTTCCTACGTTTAGTGGTCTTGATATTGTGAAAGTATACATAGGTGAAAAAAGAGTTTCTGCTTCGAAACCAGAGAATGCTCGGATGTAAGTGGGAGAAGCGAATTCCCCTAATTTTCCCCTTCCTGTGAGATCTCCCCGTTAGCGTCGCGCAGCATTCTTGGGAATTTCCCTGTGGAGAGCTCTTCGCAGGGGAACGTCGTAGGGGGCGATAATTGTCAAAGGCCATACTTGTCGTTCTTCGATACATTCGGGGAGGTCGACAGTTCCAGAGGTCTTCGAACTAATAAATTGTCTTCCGCAGCCGCTTCCGGTCAGAACGGACGAAATGAGTCGGTTTCATCGTCAGCGGACGCAATCGGCCTCTCAATCGGTTCGCTCTCATTGAATTGTCAAGGAAGAGTTCACATTTCGCAGGAGGATCACATCGATTCCGCGGGTCTTCCAATTGGGTGGGTATCGAATTCCATCGGCGGCGTATATACCGAGAGATGTTCGATAGTTCTCAGATGTTTCTTTCGAAGAGTCGATAATTTGGACGAGCGATGATATCGATCTTCCGGAGCTCTAAGCCTGAGGTTGCGTTTCGCAGATGGAGCCTGCAGAAGGCACCGAGTGGTCGAACCTTCTTCATCGACCACAACACGAAAACAACAACATGGATTGATCCTAGAACCGGGAAACCGTCACAGATAGGTCAATCCAGCGGCGGAATCAGCGAGAAACAAGCTGCATCTGCAGCAGGTTCGTAATCCTCGTTGGTTTCGTAAAAATTTTCGAACACACTTGGCCTCTGTAGAATATTTTCAATCGGAAGAGACTGATTCCGTCCTCTTGAATGTGAATTCTCGCTCTCGCGATTTCAGTGGACGAACTGGGACCCTTGCCAGATGGATGGGAAGAGCGCATTCATACCGACGGACGCATCTTCTTCATCGATCACACAAACCGTAGAACGCAATGGGAGGACCCCCGATTCAACAATCCGGAACTTGCCGGGCCTGTGCGTGCATTTGAGTCTTAAGTCGAGCTCCAACGCTAGATCCTCCGATCACAAAGCTCCTGGGATGGATTCTGTAGTGTAAAATCACTATGGATTTACCGCTGACTTCTTTTCGCAGGCTGTGCCCTACTCTCGCGACTACAAACGCAAGTACGATTATTTCAAATCGAAGCTGCCCAAACCGCCCACCACGCCTTCGGGAGGGCACGCCAAGCTTGAGCTCAGAGTGACGCGATCAAACATCTTCGAAGACGCTTATATGCAAATATCCTCGGTGACGAAAACAGAATTACTCCGCACCAAGCTTTGGGTCGAATTCGATTCCGAAGAGGTGTTGGATTACGGAGGAGCGTCGAGAGAATTTTTCTACCTCCTATCGAAAGAGATGTTCAACCCCTACTACGGACTCTTCGAGTACTCCGCTGCGTAAGTCCCTATTCCGTCGAACGTGCTGCGGATGTGACCCGGAAAACAGCCGGAAGCAGAAGTTCCACGCGAACTCCGAGTCCTCGGTCGTCTGCGACATCGATCACTGATTACTCTCCCACTCTTTCCACAGAGATAATTATACGCTCCAAGTGAATCCGATGTCAGGCGTATGCAACGAAAATCATATCCCATACTTTAAATTCATTGGACGAAGCGCTGGCATGGCGGTTTACCACGGGAAACTTTTGGAAGCTTTCTTCATCCGGCCTTTCTACAAGATGATGCTGGGGAAAAACATCACATTGAAGGTAGAGAGATCTGAATATGAAGTCCAAGCCTCTGGTCTCTGAAGGGGTCCCTATATTCGGAATTAACTCGATTATACCACTCCTAGGACATGGAGAGTGTCGATACCGAATATTTCCGCTCTCTGAAATGGATCCAGGACAACGATCCGCAGGAGTTGGACCTCAGGTTCTGCGTCGACGAAGATCTCTTCGGTCAAACGCAAGAACGAGAACTGAAGCCCGGAGGAGCTCAGGAGCAAGTGACGCAAGAAAACAAGCAGGAGTACATCGACCTCGTCATAAGCTGGCGATTCGTATCTAGAATTCAGCCACAGATGAACGCTTTCCTCGAAGGATTCAACGAGGTTGTGCCCCTGCAACTGCTAAAAGTATTTGACGAGAGCGAGCTTGAACTGCTCATGTGCGGCATAGGGAAAATCGACGTAAAGGACTGGAGAGCCAACACGATCTACAAGGGTGGCTTCCATCCGAATCAGCTCGTTATCCAGTGGTTCTGGAGACTGGTCCTTTCGTTCGACAACGAGATGCGGGCGAGATTGCTACAATTTGTCACGGGCACATCGAGATTGCCGATGAATGGATTTAAGGAGCTTCAAGGTACGTTTGTGCATGACGACATCGGTCTGGGGAACGCAATAATTGTTGTTGGCGCGAAACCACGATGACGGCAGACGTCGATAGAGCACCGATAAACACGAACTGGATTATTCCCTTGGGCCGTGACGTTAGAAGGGAAGCTCTGTCAGACTCGTCCCGACGGCGAGGGAAAATCGTCGTGCTCGATTTTAATATGGCTTTCTCTACACAGGTTCGAATGGGCCACAACAATTCACGATTGAGAAATGGGGTACGGTGAATAACTTGCCTCGCTCGCACACGTGCTTCAACAGGATAGATCTCCCCCCGTACGAAAGCTTTCAAGATTTGAGGGAGAAGATCATCAAGGCCATCGAGGGATCTGGATCTTTCGGAGGAGTAGATTGAGAGAACCCAGGAAGAGCCTCGAGCAGCAAAGCTTCAAACCAAACTACGGCGAACAGAGTGTGAGGAACGAATCTAGCTCAATCATTCGAACGATGACATGCGGCCACCCGGGGCGTTGTTTTCGTTCGCTTTGAACAGGCAATCAATATTTCATCTATTCATATTTCATCCATCCAATCGAGCAATCAATCATTCCCTGATCGATCCGTGGGATCGGATGACTATCCATACCAAACTCTGCAATATTCGAGTGGAGGAGAACACTGTATGGCCCTGCCAAGAAGGAGTCCAGAGTGGCTGAGGGAATTTTCGATAGCTAGAAAAAGACCTGGAAGGAGAACGTAGCAAGGAAAACGTTGCTCCAGTCGCCCACTATACTATATATATTCAAAAGAGACGCACTCTGCGCGTAGAGTCCCGGGGAGACCTTGTGATAGGAATTGGGGACATTCCCCGTTCGATCAGGAGAACATCACCGTCTTCAAAGACGCGAGAAACGCCCGGTTAATCTTCGAGTATCGTAAATCGAGACCGGGAAGGAGGAGACGACCTAATGCCTCGGCGAAGGTGAGGTTCCGACTGAGTGAGAGAAAACGGAAAGAGCTTGCGTTTCCAAACATTCGGACTTTCGGTATCGTACGGAACTCCACCTCGAATGCCTATTCGAGTATTGTGTTCTCACCCCGCGTGACCCAGAAGATCCTACATATAGGGTTGAAATTTTATTGTCGAATAGTCCGTCGTCTCGTACGGGCGATGATGATCATCTGCTTGCCCGGGTTACGTTGCCTTCGCTGCAGTTTTCTTTTTCAAATCAATCCACTGTGTTATATAGCCGGCTGTGGCGATTCATTGTGCACATTGTTATATCTGTGGATTTGCAAAATGCTGATGTGAATTATAGTTGTTGACGATGATCGGAGTGAAAATCGTGCGATCTGTCGATGCAGGTGTTGAAGTCGCGGATGGATGATCAGAACAGGAATGTGACGACGACTTCGACGGCGAACGGCACCTCGCTGAGCTGGAGACGATCAACAGGACGATGATAATAATTATTATCATAAAATGCCGGAACTGTGAATAGTTGAATTTTTTCCACCACGAAATCGAAGAGCTTCTTTGATCGGATCGGGCAGGCGCTTTTACGATTTCAATTAGCTAGATCTTTTTCTATAAATGAGGACGATTACGTCAATGCAAACGAAAATTCTAGGGCATTCCTCCTGAATCCATGATGTACTCATCATTAGTCATTTCAGCGACCCATCAGCCTGACTGATTAGCTGTCGTGACATTCATCTAGCGCTCTATCCGAACTGGGTTCAGATTCACACAACCGTCTCAGATAGGTAACCTCTCGGAGGCTTCGACCGATGACGACGGCCCAATAATGAACTTTATTAACGAACAATGTTACTTGGAATAAACGTGATTTCGATATTGCATCAAGCCATTGAATATTCCTGCTCGACATGCCGACGTAGGATACGATTCACTCGTAAGTTGCAATGGACGTTCGAGTCTCGGAATGTATGAAAAGGTCCTCGGTCGTGTTATCAACCGGTCGCTTGGAACAGAGACGAGTCTTGGTAGACGGACAATAACAAAAACTGGGAGCTGACCTTAGCTAATTTCCGAGCCGATGTCCTGTCGAGGAGTGGATTCTCTTAGATTCCCCGACAGATCGACGCGAGGATCACCTAAATCGGCCGATATACCCAGAAATTGCTGATGATTCAAAGATTCTCTCTGCGCGTTCGGTTTGAGGGTTAGTGGGAAAAAAATACCGTTGAGCATGCGAGTTCGATGGAGGAAGTTCTGGTAAGAGATTGCGGGGGAACGGTCAAATGAACCGCAGATCATTTGATTGTAGCCGGATGCCGACCTGAACGGAGCGGGACTGGTTCGGAATGAGGAGGTTCGGAGGTCACATTACTCGTTTCTCGCCAGTTTCGGATCAGATCGATGTCCTGGCAGCATGAGGCGCCCGCAGGATGCCATTCAAAGGGATGCCGGGATGAATCATGGGGGCTTGTGAGACTTCGCAATGATGGCCCACTAGCATTCTTTGATAGTATAGTACGGATGATAAATCCGGAGAGGCTCCCGGTAGCTGGAAAGTGAAAAGCCTGAGCCCTCCCTCCCTGCGGAAGCGCCTGTACGTGAATAAAATTACGTCGATGTTCAACAGCCATCGATACGAACAGAGGAAATGAGGAGAGACCCCACAACCGCCTCTCTGGATATTCGACAGAATTAGGCTGGGGAGTGACGGGAGGGCGTTCAGGGGAGTGATGAGACCCCAAGAAGAAAAATTATGCACGAAGCGGGCACAGTAGATCAAGCGCTGGAGCGCGAAGATAGCCAGGCCCCTCCGTACTCATGAAAGGTCTTCCAAATACGGTATGCCACAATTACAGATCATTTTCACAAAGCTTCTCCGCAAGCCGGTAGCTCATGAATCAGCGACCGTGATCTACTTCAATCCTGGTCGCTGGAAATCTTAAGCGCCTTTCATCGACTCACAGTAGCGTGATGAGGCCATGTTGGTCCGTGTCGTCGTTGTCAGAATTCTCGGGCTCATGGGAGCTTACTGAATCTCCTCATTGGAAGAGCACGAATATCCTCATGACCACGCAAACCAGAATTCGTCCGATAAACAGAGAGAAATGAATCAGAAGGGAATGTATTAATCCAGAAGACATGGGCGTAGTACTTTCAGGAAGTGTCCGCCTCCTTATAGTTTAATTGACTAAATAAATTTTCTCGCATTTTTTTTCATTCAGCCTATTTTTTCAGTAGTTTTGGACCGAAAGATACCGCGTGCGTTAATCCGGATGCTCTCTTGTCTGAGCAGGATTGCCACCATTGGAGTGGTCTCAAGAGAGCTGCGGAATCAAAAATATTCGGGTCAACCCTAAGGAAATAAGGCGATCTTCCACCACGGCATCAACCGCAGAAGATTCACGCATTGCTCCGTGGACTTCTTCCGGGGACTTCTGAATACCACACTGGTTGGGCGATGACCATCGATCTCTAAAAATAGACGGTCTCAAGAATCGAGCTAGCTCTCTTAAGGGGACCGACCAGTAGCTTTGGCGAAAAAGAATACCCGATTGTAAATTCTAGAAAAGGATGCTCTGATTGATTGATCCATTGCTTGTCTTGCTCCCTATGCGAAACCCCACTGAGGGAGAATCGAATGAGATTGACAGAGCCTAATGAATTTCTCGATTTAAGACAACACAGGATGTGACCTTAGATCAGCGAGAAATTCCTGAAGTCAGCTAGAACAGTCTTCGATCGTAGATAAGCGTCGAATGTTCTTTCGCTGGAATGCCGACGAAAACCAGGCTCGAGCGTTAGCGGGTGTCCGAGTGAGCAGCAGTGATAAAAGCAGGAACACTTCTCGTTGGGAGATAAGGAGTATACGTACGAGAGCACTCGCGAAAGCTCTGACTCGCGTGGTTTGACCGCGAGATAAAAAAACTCGGACGCATGTTCTCACACGTTCGTCGACAGGGAATAAAGCATTCTTGTCGGGAAACACCAAAGTGCGCTTGAGTGCTTCAGTAAGGCGACAACGTCAACTTCGACAGGCGACGGACCTAAATTTCGACTGACGACAACACTCACTGAGAATGCATCTGAATTTGAAAGACCGCCGAGGAGGAGGTACGCTCACTCCTGCGTCACGCCTCGAAAGAAGGCCATCCCTCTGAAATATCGACAGACGATAACTCTTTATTCTTCTTCGTTAGAGATAATTCATCCCTTTCCTTATCGGAGCTTGTCGAAGACATGATGATACGGTTAGCGCTGTGTATCCTTGACGTGATGCGTCGGATGCACGTCGTCGTGGCAGGCAAATGGCATGAAGCATGGGGGAGGAAGAAGGGCCCGACGAGCCAGCGAGCAAACAGACAGAAATACAGACTAGGGAAACGACGGGCCACCCACGATTCTGAGCCACGCCCATATCACACTCTGTCATTTCGTGATTACGTTTAGATTACCAGAGACATTGTGGTAAATGTCTATTCACTCGTTAATCCTCTTGAGTATTTCGTTGCTCAAATATTCCGACAACGACTCCGATCAGTGCACGTGTAACTGTTCTCTCTCGCAGCCGCGTCCATCACGAGCATCGGTCAGCGTCCAGCATGATCACTAGAAAGTCACGACTAACGAATCAGCGGCGGACGAGAAGAACGCCCGAACGATGAGGGAGCGTTGGCGAAATTCCCAAGAGTTGATCAAGTTCATGATAATGGTCGTCTGACCTCAGAGCTCAATGCCAGACTTAACCCGAAACTATACGCGAGACGACCTTCAATTGAAACGCAGCTGATCTCTCCCTAGCACTGGCAACAACCTCTAGGCGTCATCCGATCTAACTGACTGAGCAAAGAATCGAATTCCCTCCTTATCTCTTTCATCTCCTCCCGCTCGGCTCTTGCATGAAGACAGATCAGGAAGAACGGGGACGCTCTTTCAGCAACGGATTAGCAGATGGGGGAGGCGACGGAACGAAGTTTTCGAGAAGCTCAAAGAGTCTGGGATCGAGCTGACAATGGGCCCTGCGTTGAACGTCATAATCATTCGGAGAACGATCGGGAGAAACATGCAAATAATCTGCGGCATCATCTAAGGGCGTGAACGAGACTATGTAGCCGCCTATTCGACATCAGGAGACAGATTGTGTCCATCAAAAGATCGGGGTCTGAGCACGTTCGTGGTTTAGAATGACAAACCTATCGTCGCTTAGACGAGCACCGGGCTGAGCTTCCACGCGAGAACATATGTTTTGAATAAACCATGGCTGTAGCGGGGTACCGTGTCGTCGTTTGGTCGGAGCGGCCTCGAGTAGCATAATATGTTGTATATCGGGACTTCGAGAGTCTCACGGCAGGCACTTCGTTGGAGGAATCTTTCGTTCAGTAGGAGCACATGAATAATGGCGTTTGACGGGGGAAAATCAATCTTCACGGTAGTCGGGGAAATTCGCGAAAATTGTGATACAATCAAAGGCGAAGAACAGGCCTCCCGATTATATCGATTATTATTATATTATTATTTGCAGCCGCGAACATGAGGACTTCACCAAATCTATCCACTTTGGGAGTGGGTTGATTCCAAAGAATCGGCCAAAATCAGCTCCGCGAGCCACAACAAGCTCGACACATTCCGTCGAGATCCACTTTGGTTCCCGTACGCCGAGGCTATCGGTACTTCTGTCGCTTCGCCCAGAGCTGGTGCC